GTGACTGTCCATCTGGATGGCGCTTTGTATTGGCAGGGGACCCAGTGGGGCAATGTATGGTTTGTCCTGCATGTTGAAAGAACCCAGAGGAATTTGCACCCACGGTAGTTCAGTTTCTCACCTGAGAATGAAAAGGTGACCTCCAGTCAACCCTAGGGCCCTATTTTTTAGGGAAGACCCGCCTCTTCCCCAAGTGTTCTGAGAGCTCATTTGGGACTAAAGTTTCCTTTTGAGAGAGGAAACTCAGTTTTTTCTTTTTCTTCTCTCTCTCTCTCTCTCAACTTTTGTCAAATTTATTTTATTCTAATTTTATTTATTTTTCTTTTTCTCTATTTGCTTGTGTTAGGACAGGCCCTTCAAAAATACTAAACAGGCAATTGTTTCTGATAAGCTTTGAAAAATATTGTTTGTTGGATTTGCATAACTTTGTATTTGAGGATAATTGAGATCTCCAAGCCCTCCTTGAAGTCTGACAAGTTTGGGATTGCTTAAGGACCGAGCTGAATAGACTGCAGAGAGGCTTTACCTGATGCTTAAAAGATGATTCAGGACTGTGCCACATGATCTCGTTGAAACTCTTTAGCACAAGGAACCTGGGAAGGAGCATTTGGAAAGACAATACTTGAGCCTCCCTGTAATCCCAGAGACCTTTAGAGAGTTGGGGATATGGACAACTATGCCAAGTCACTCCAACTGATTGGATAAGGACAGCAAATATTTAATAGAGGGAAAGAGTATAAATGGGAACCGAATGGGGAATGTGAAAAGTTACCTTTCCTGATTCTAGCTAACCATATATGCATTCCTTAGCTTAGCACTTGAGAGCCTTGGAGATTATTCCAAACTACAAGTGACTCGGGACTTAAAGACTTGCACTTTGAAATGTCATCCTCCTTATTGGCTGCTGAGGACAAATAGCCAAAGATTCGGAAGAGAGTGATTAAAATGAAGTCATCTAAAAAGAGAATTACTCTGCCCTGGCTTACTCTTCCTTCAAGTCCTTCATGCATTAAGGGGCTCTATTTTCCACTAGACTTCCCTTTTCTGGGGGAGGGGTGTGAAGCACTACCCTCTCTCCTTCTGCCCATCCCTAGGCATCATGATGACCGTTCCCATGTGGCAGCTAGAACAGGGGGGACTCAAGTAGATGAGCTCGCACTTGGGCCCCAGGCTGCACCATGTTCCACACATTGTTACTGAGCAGCCTGGGGCAGTGTCCCCTGTAGGAGCCTTTCTGCCCTTATTCCACCTGCCGCTTACTCCTTCATATTTGACCAGACACTAAGGCTGCTTTGACTTTTGCTGTCAACAAAGGTTTTGAGAATCAAAAAAAAAAATTGAAGGAAACGCTTTCCTTTTCTTAGAAAATAACTGAACATCAGACTTGAGACGGTTATGTCCAGACTTGGAGGTGACCTTGCAAGTTCAAGAGGTCCAGAGGTCTTGAATCAATCTGGTGGAGCTAACCGGAGATATGGGAAGTTTCTGCATCAGAGAAAATGACTACTGTCAAGAGAAAGAGCCTGAGTCCTGGCCTGGCTGGCCAGTAGACATGGACTTTGAGAAGAGAGTGTGGAACCGAGGGGAAATGTAACAATGCTAATTCAACCATCTCACACTTTCATGTTCCAATTTTTATAACATAACACTAGCTATAGATTATAAGTTTGTGATTAAGTCTTGTCAATGTGCTCCATGAGTCTTTTGTGTCTTTTAGCATTTCTTTTGTGTGTGGGATATAAATACCTGTCCGATAACTGATTCATATTGTACATTGAGTATGTTTCTACTTCCTTGATTTGGGGAGACCCTCAGAAATGAGGTAAAACCCAAGCTTTAAGCAATTCCTCCACTTCTTCTGGGGATCCAGGGTTCAATGAACCAAAGAATGTGAGGAAAAGAGTCTGTTCTCCCTTCTATGTGGTTAGCTTCTCACAAGAACCCCATGGTGTATGGGATAGAGGGGAAGGAGAGGAGGGGTCCAAAGCACAGGAGCCCTTTATGGAAAAATGAGACGAAATGAATGCCCTAGCTAGCTCTTCAATGTCCAAGAGTAATTCTTATTGCTAGAATAGTCTAGTGTACCTATCCAAAAAAGAAATGAGGTAAATTTGGAACAACTTATTCTAGGACCAAATGCTAGGTCCTAGTGGTCATTGCCTGCATTCCTAAGTGTTCAGAAAGTATACATTTAATAATCTGTTCTAGAATTTTACAAGGAACCAACATTAATGTTTTCATAATACATCCCTTTTTCTTTTTTTTTGTTTAAGAAAAAAAAGAAATTTGTTCATTTCCTTTTACTAGTAACCCTTCTATCTTCCAAGTTTCCTGAAAGATTATAAATAGTAACTCTGAGGTCACACCTGCAAGTTCTGCAAGATACTGCAGGAGCATCTTTCATTTAAGGAAAAACTATTTATTAGGGGCTGTTTAGTTTAAAAGTACAGCACTGAAATTCAGCATGTCCAAAAATGAACTTGTCAGCTTACCTCAGTCCCCCGTGTTGGTTTTCTTTCCCCAGCTATTCCATTCCTATGAATTAAGTACCACCGTTATTCCATTTTCATGGGCTAGGAATCTAGGAGTCTCCCCTAGTGCCTAATACAGTGTTCTGTACACAATAGTCTCTTGGCAAATGTTTTGAATGACTACTGAATAGATCTTTCATTCTTTCTTATTCTTCCCTTATATTTGAACTGTCACCAACTCTTTTCAATTTTCAAATCAAGTTAATCTCTTTACAATCCTCTGTACAGACTGTGCTCATTCCCACCTTTGTGCCTTTGCTCATGCTGTTTTCCCTGCCTAATATGCCCTTTTTCTCCTACCTACACATATATAAATCTAAACTAACTTCCAAACTCAGCTTCCACTACCTACATGAAGCTTTCTCTGATCATTTGAACCTCCACTGATTATCTCCCTTCTCTGAATTCCTAATAGCTTTAAAGTATTTCAAACAATTAAACACTTAGTTGTCCTCTAATTGTTTCATGTGTTTTTGTTCTCTCCTAGCTAGAATAAAAGTTCGTTAGTGTCTTGGACCATGTCTTGTGGCCATCTGACCTTCTTCCCTTGAAATACCCATGGTGTTTATCAGAGTGGCATAGGCAGTCTTCTACATAAGACAAGGTGGGAATTCTGGAATTCTAAGACCTGAGTTCAAAACCCAACTCTGCTACCCACTTCCTCTACGACCTTGGGCGAGTCACTTTCCCTATTGGAGCCTCAGTTTCCTCATCTGTGAAATGAAGAGGCTGCACTAGCTGATCTGTAAAATTCCTTCCAGCTCAAAATCCTACGATAACCAATTAATCAATAATCAATTAATCAATAAATACAAGTACCTAGTATGTGCCAGGACATAATAGATGCTCAATAAATCCTTGATTTATTGATGGACTATCCCTTCAGTTCTGTCCTTGGAAACCCTAGCCTCAAGAGCTGGGCCAGTAGAGTCACCCAGAAAATATGGCACCTGTTCACCCAGACCACCTGCCCACACCACAGAGTAATACTCAGAAGAAGCAGAGAGCCAGATCAGCCTGGCACAGGGGCTTGAACAACCTGCTGGGGCCCCTTCCGTCTCTTCCATAATTACAACTGTTCTGGCCAGCTCTCTGCCCCACAGCTGCAGGAAGTACCTTATGCAATCATCTTCAATCCCCCTTAGGGGAGGGCAGGCTTAGTTAGGGACACAGAATAGCAGTCTTCACACAGAACCAGGCAGGGTTTGCAACATTTCACACCCTTCAGTGTGGCTGGGTGGATCTGGGGTGTTAACAGCCAAGGCAGAGGTAAGAGCCAAGACAAAGAAGCTGGGGGAACTGGGCAGTGAAGAGAAAGCCCAGAAAAAAAAAGACTCTAGGGTCATTACAGGATACCTAAAGACAGAACAGAAAGCACCAGATTCAGCCCAGGAAATTTTCTCTGAAAAGGTCTCTCTCTCCAACAAACACAACCTCTCTGGAAGTCGGTCAACTTTAATCCCAGTCTTGACTCACCTGCCCATGCCCAGAGCCAGCTTTGCCCAGGAGAGGCCTTTAGCCCCAGGCATTGCTCGGAGGGCCCAACCCTGGACTGAGGACAGTCAAGAACTCCCCTCCCTGACAACTATAAAAGCTTGAGATTATAGGTTTTTTCTTCTACTTTTGTGACCTCTAAACTTTACTTTACCTGAAACTCATAATATAGGGCTGGGCAAATAAGAAACACATAATTTATACCTACAGAAAGACAGAGGAATTTAAGATGGGGAGAAGAGAGAGAGATATTAAGAAATAAAAACAAAGGCAAAGAAAAGAGAGACCAAATTTATTTTTTTAAACAGACATAATTGTGATTTATTAACATGAATTAAAATGCCCAACCAATGCTGCAATGTGACAGGATATTTAAAAAAATTTTTAATGGAGAGACCAAATTTGAAAGACGAAACCTAGACCCCTACTAACTCTGAATATGAAAAAATGCCGATAGCTGCTGTCTATCTAACTAGGTTTTTTTCTGGAGGAGAGGAGCCCTGAGAAGTGGTCTGGAGAATAATGAGATCATAAAGGCAGGCTCTTTGCAGAAGGAAGCTCATAGACTCTTAGAATGAGAAGAGAATTTACAGGTCATCTAATCCAACTCCTTAGCACCATATTGGAATCTCTGTCTCTGTCTCTGTCTCTCTGTCTCTGTTTCTTTCTCTTTCTCTCTCTCTGTCTCTCTCTGTCTCTGTCTCTGTCTCTCTCTGTCTCTCTGTCTCTCTCTTTCTCCCCACCCCCTTTCTCCTTCTTCTTCCCTCCTCTCCCTCTGATTCATCCCAAGCTAGGGCCTTCCCTCCCTCACTACCTTGTGTTTATTTATTTTACAAATATTTTGTAGTTTCTAATTTATGTGTCAATTGCTCTCCCCACCCCCAACAGAATGTATGCTCCTTGAGGGCAAGTACTATTGAATTTTTTTTTTTTGGCCTTTGTATCCCCAATCCTTACCATAATGTCTGGCACATTGTAGGCTCTTAATAAATGCTTGGTGTTTGATTGGCTGCAATAATTAAGAAGTTTTTCTTTACATTAAATTGAAATGTGCTTCTTTTTTCTATATACTTCTCATCTCCCCTATTAAAATGTGAGCTCATTTTGGATAGGGATTGTTTTATTCTTTACGCTTATATTCCAAGCACCTAGCCCAGTGACTGGCACGTGGTAGACGGCTAATAAATGCTTTTTATTTGATTGATTAATAGGATCTTCAGTTAAGTCCTGGTGCCTGTCCAACTAGTGCCTGACTCAGAGCCATAATTAGGAATTTATGCAGCTGGGACAAGTATAAACAATGCATAATTACACAAATGTACCCTGTGGGCAAGAAGACCAAAATATACTCACAAGTGACCAGAGGGCCAGTACACTGTCCCATTGTGGGGAGACAAAGACCCCAGAACAACAGCATAAGATGGCTTTGGGGGGGAGTAAGGGTGGAAAAGGAAGAGTTCATACCAGCACGCCTCCTAGTAACTTCCTATTTTAACTAATTAGTCTAACTAGGTGTTAAACTCTAGTTGCTACGCTGCTCTAAATTTAGCACCCTCTAAATTCATTGCCCTGGGGCAAAGCACTGTTCCCCTGGCCCTTCTTACAGGTCTTCTCCAACTCCAGTTTCATAGTTCCCATGTTCAGACCTCAAGTCCAACTTCCCCAACCTATCCATAAAATTTATTCTGCCCAGGGGATGAAAATGATCAGATGGAAAACTGGTCTGGGTTGAGAAAAAAAAAAAAAGAAAGAAAGAAAGTTTTTTGTCAGCTGCCTCACCTGCCAGGTCTGACCATGAAAGAGTGGTTTGGATTGAGGTGGAAACGCCTCTCCCTCCGCTGGGCCAACTGCAGAGCCGATTAGACCACTCCCTGGACCTGGGAGGCTTTGTCAAAGCAAGGCCAGATGGGGGATGGGACTGTGTCCAGCCTACTGGGACTTGAGGGGCAGAGATGGAGTCTGAAGGGCTTTGGGCGCAGAGGGCCAGCCTGGCCTTCTGAGCTTCTGGGGTTGTTCCTTCTTCAGCCCCATCAAGGCTGGCGCTGTTTGCGATGCTTCAGGGCAGCCCTCAGAGCCCTTAGGATCTCGCCCTGGTTGTTCTGCACATTGTAGGCACTGAGGTAGAGCAGTCGGTCAAAATCATCCCCACTGTACGTCATGTTGGCCAGCGAATATGGAGACAGGAAGCCTGCAAGATCGACGTGGCCTCTCTCAAGCTCTTCAGGGCTGCGCCTGACACCTACGCCGTGGGTGAGAGATAGGGAAATGAGGAGCAGGACAGGGGGCTTTCCCAAAGCCCTACCTGCTCCTCTTGGGTACTGCAAAGCTAGTTAGGATAAAATTCCCCAGGAATCCAATCAGGGAAACTATAGAACTAATTGGGATAAGACCCCTGGGCATCCAATCAGGAAAACCCTAAGGAGCAAAGAGAGAAATAGAAGACTTTAGGGACCAGGCCTAATACTGTGGGCATGCTCAGTGAGTCCTTTACATTTTCCCCAATTTCCTTTGTCCAGGAAGTTAATGATTCTATACTGCTGTTAATAGATCACTGTCCCATCAATTTCCCCCTCTGTAGGCTGAATCCATCCTTCATATAGATGTCAAATCTGACCTCATTCCCTTACTCAATAAACCCCCATGGCTCCTGATTACTTGTAGGACCAAATATAATCTGTTTGCCACTGAAAACTCTTCAAAACCCAGACCCAACCTCCTTTTCCAGTCTTACTACTTCAGGCCCTCTTTAACGCGGTCTGGTCTAGGCTGTACCTCATCCATGGCACTGCGTGGCCATCTCCACACCCTTGCCAACTATTCTCATGTCTCTCTCAAGAGCCATCGCTGCCTTCTAGGCTAGCTCTAGTGCCCCCGTCTACATGAAGTCTTTAGCTGCTAGCTGTGTGACCTTAGGTAAGTCATTAATCTCACTGTGCTTCATCTTCTGAAAAGTGAGAGAATTAGCCTCCATGGCCTCCAAGGTCCCTTCCAGATCTAAATCTCTGATCCCATAATCTAGTGTCCCACCTCCCCAAATGATCTCACACTTATTTTGTGGGTATTTCATGTGTGTGTGTGTGTGAGCATAAATACACATCTATGCACGTGTGTATATAAACACATATGCATGCACATGCTTGTATATACACATATTTTATATGTGTGTAAGTATACACAAATGTGTATATGTGCATGGTTTTGTGTATACACATGCACATGTGTGCAAATATACATCATGCACATACATATTTATGTGTGCATACATAAATATACATGTGCGTGCACATATGTGCACACACAGCTAATTTCATCTGTGTGTACAGATAGACAAACATGCATGTGTGTACATGTATGTATTATATATTTTATTTTATATATACATATACACATGTGCATGCACATTATACATACATATACACATTTTATGTGTGCATGCATATACATGCATGCATGCATGCATGCACCAAATTCTTCTGTTCATCCCAGAGAATTCTAGATTTAGAGCTAATAGAGACCTGCTCTGAGCCAACCCTTTCATTTCAGCTGAGGAAGCTGAGACCTAGAGAGCTTAGGTAACTTTCCCAGGTTCACATGGCTGGTAGGGTCGGAGGCGAGATTCTAATCCAGGTCGTCCTGACTCCAGGCCTGCACTCTCCGCTAGGCCAGGCTGCCTCCTCTACTTCACCCTGTGAAAGAGCAGCTTGCTCTGGGATGGGGAGAGATGCCTTCCTGGTTAAGGGTGAGACAAGGCTGGGGGGTGACTGGGACAGGGAGTTTTGGGGCTGGCTCACCAGGGGCTGAGTGCTCTCTGAAGGAAAGGTTGACCAAGGGGAAATGCAGCACAGTGGGGGCTTCAGGGCAGTCAGGGTCGGAGAAGACGTGGCATTCCCTAGGCTGCAGGCGCTCCTCGTGACTCAGCTCCACTCTGGGGAAAGGGATGCCCTGCCCTCGGCAGTACGTCTCCATCTGCTCCAGCGTCTGGAGGAGAGAGCAGTGTTGGAGATAAGAGGGATCTCAGCGATCAACTAGTCCAAACTTATCATTTTACAAGTAAGGAAACCGAGGCCCAGAGAGATGAAGTAACTTGTCCAAGGTAGCACAGGGAGGGTCAGAGCTAGAATTTAAACCCAGGTCCTCTGGTTTCAGAGTCAGTGCTCTTCCCACTATCCCATAGGACATTTAGCCCAATTCCTTCATTTTAAAAATGAGGAAACTGGGGCCCAGAGAGGGGCAGTAGCTTCTCCAAGGTTATAAAAATAAATCATTTATAATAAGTAACTTATTATAATAATAAATAAATACATTTATAATAAATAAATAAAGATAATAAATAAAAGGCAGAACCAGAGTTCAAACCCATATCCTCTGATTCACCTCAGGCACTCTCAGCCCCATTTCAGGTTGGATTTGGCCGCTAACTGACATGCCAGTTTCATTCTAGCTTAACAATTTTAGGAAATGCCTAGGTTTAGATTCCAGCTCAGACTGGGTCACTTGATTCAAAGACAAACAAAAACTCCTTCAGTTTGGTCCAAGTGGTGCAGTAGGAAAGCAGTGTTAGATTTGGACTCAGAAGACCCAGGTTCAAATCCTGCCTCATTTACTAGTTCTTTAGCAGAGAGCATATCATTCACTCTCTCTGAGGCACTAGAGCATCCAGATCTGTAAAATGGACGTAATCATGTGTATTGTCTAATCTGGACACTATGGTGAGGACTAGATGAGATAAAGCTGTTTAACCAGCTTTGTAAACCCTACGTCCCTACTTATGTAAATGCCAGATATCATCATCCAATGTGACCCAATATAAAACAGAACAGTGTTGGGGTCTGGCCCATGGCTCACTCTCTGACAGATCACTTCAGCTTGATTGAGTAGTACAATTTGTTTCCTGTTCTGGTTACTAGGTAAAAATATCTCACATTTTTTTATAGACTTGGAGTTTTGCAAAGAACTTTCCTCATAGCAACCTTGGGAAGGAGGTTTCGTGACTACTATTATCTTTATTTTATCAATGAGGCCTAAAGAAGTTTAAAGACCTGCCTAATGTTACAAAGCTAGTGAGTATGAGAGCCAGGAATCATCCCCATCCTGATTTTAAGTCCAGTGTTGTGGCACCAATACCCACCATCCTCCTCAGGGGAAGGAGAAAGGAGAGGGGGAAAGGAAAGAAACATTTATAAGCTCCTACTGTGTGCCAGGCACTGTACTAAGCACTTTTTACTATTACCGCATTGCATCCTCACAACACCCCTGGGAGGCAGGTGCTATTATTATCCCCATTTATTTTTTATTTTTTTATTTTTTGGGTTGGGCAATGGGGGTTAAGTGACTTGCCCAGGGTCACACAGCTAGTAAGTGTTATGTGTCTGAGGCTGGATTTGAACTCAGGTCCTCCTGAATCCAGGGCCAGTGCTCTATCCACTGCACCACCTAGCTGCCCCCTATTGTCCCCATTTTACAGTGAGGGAAACTGAGGCAGACAGCAATAAAGAGATTTGCCCAGGGTCACACAACTATTAAATGTCTGAATGTGGAGTTGAACAATATTAATGATAATAATTACTAACATTTATATAGTGTTTACTTTGTGCCAGGCACTGTGCTAAATGCTTTACAAATATTATCTCATTTGATCCTTACAACAAATCTGAGAGATAGCCCCCATTTTACAATGGGGAAGACTGAGGCAGACAGTGGTAAAGTGAGTTGCCCAGGGTAACACAACTATTAAAGGTCTGAATCTGGGTTTTAATAATAATAAAAACAGTTAACATTACATAGCACTTACTATGTGCCAGGCACTGTGCTAAGTGCTTTACAAATATTATCTCATTTGGTCCTCACAACAACCCTGAGATGTAGGTGCTATTATTATCCCCACTTTACAGTGGGGGAAACTGAGGCAGGCAAAGACAAAGTGACTTGCCCAGGATAACACAAACTATTAAATGTCTGAGTCTGGATTATAATAATAATAATAATAATAATAATAATAATAATAGTTAACATTATACAACACTTACTATGTGCCAGGCACTGTGCTTTACAAATATTATCTCATTTGATCCTTACAACAACACTGAGAGGTAGAAGCTATGATTATCCCCATTTTACAGTGGAGGAAACTGAGGCAGACAGAGGCAAAGTGACTTGCCTAGGGTCACATAGCTATTAAGTGTCTAAGGTCACATTTGAACTCAGGTCTTCCTGACTTTAGGTCCAGCACTCTATCTACTGTGCCCCCTAGCTGTTGTACCTACTCAGGGTACAACACAGAGTGGGAAGTTAAGTGATTTCCCTCCCCGCCAACTCCAACCCTAAGGCTGACATCAGGGCATAATGATCCCTGAGATCTTTTTCTAGCTTTTTGTCCTGGTCCACCTCAAGACTCTTGGGGAAATTACACTATCATAGAATCATAAGACAATTGATTTAGCATTAAAAGAGATTTTAGATGCCAAGTCCATCCCCTTTATTTCACAGATGAGGAAGGCAAGGTACAAGGAAGTTAAGTGACTTGTCCAAGGTCATACAGCTAGTATCTAAGGTCGGATTTGAACTCTGGTCTTCCAGCCCAGTGTCCTATCTTCTGCACCAGAGGCATCAAACTAGAGATCTGATGGTGGCAAGAGACCTATAAAATTCCCAAGTGTTGGCTCAACCAGATTAAAATGAAATTGGGAAGTGTTTTAACAAAATAAATAAAAATACAAAACAACATAGATAATGTTAATTCATAATTTTCTAAGTCAATATGCAGTCCATAGGAATTGGCTTCTGAGTCTGGCACCACTGTAAAACCCATACTGTGCTGCTTCTCATGCCCTCCATTCCTACATGTCTGAGCACTCACCACCTACCACGTCAGAGGGTCTAAATGCCCCCTCCCTCCTCTTGGGGCATCAAGTGGTCCAGGAGGGCAGGGTAGGTTCTTGGTCAGTGGCTCAGTTGAAACTGGAACTTGAGCTTGGAAGCCTGACATGGGTTGGGGGCCCCAAGAGGGATATTGGGGGGTTGGTCTCTGGGTGGGTGGTAGGGGCTGGGAAGAGGTACCTCAAAGGGAGAGTTGAGGGAATAGCCAAACGAGAGGATGAGGTCTGGGCTCCGGCCTGCCCGCAACAAGAGTGGGCAACTCGTGTTGATGAAGTAGGCAGCATCTACCAGGCAGAGCCGGGGTTGTAGAGGGGTCAGCTGGCTGGGGTCAGAATCTAGCGGGCAGTCTAGGTGGGCGAAGGCAATGAAAATTAGGGACAAAGAACATGACCCAAGCCTGCCCCAGAGACCCATCCCCTGCCCTCTTCATCCTAGCTCATCTTGCCTTGGTCTGAAGCGGGTTCTCCTTGCCTTGAGTATTAACCCCAACGCTCAAAACCCACAAGCAGGAGGCCACATGCCCCCAGAGCTTTCATGACTTGGAAACCCCCAACCCTGACAGGGAGCTTGGACTTTGGCCGCCGCCAGCCTAGCCTGACAGCTTTCCATATGTGGCAGGAGAACAGCCATGCCCTCACCACCCCAGATGCAGAAATTTCTCTGGCCACAGTAATCCTGGTGCAGATGAAGGCCTCTCAGGAAATTATGACATTGGTGATGAAGAGGCCGCCCAGTCAAGAGGCCCCGAAGAGCCTGCGTGAGAGCAGTTTTGGGCTGCAGCCACGACATTTCAATCCAGGAGGTCCTCCGGGAGCCAGGGGATTCCTTTTCTGCAGCCAGAGACACATAGAGAAAGAAAGAGATGTCCCCAACATTTCTGGGACTCTTGGGAGTTCCGAATCCCTAGTTTTGCTTCAGTGAACCTGGCAAATTCCATCCCTTCCCTTGCCCTGCCCCTAACATCCAATACTTATCAGAAGCATGGCCCAAAAGGCTGTTTACCCCATCAGTGTCCACCCAAAGCCCCAGGCTTTTTCTCAAGGTCTCTGTTTCCTACCAATGTTTCTGGTCTTATCCCGGATATGCTGCTTCCAGGTCTCTTCTGAGCTGGTGAGGTCATACCAAGCGTCCATCAAATTCACAGAGAAGATGTTACTCCATAGGCCTGAGGGAAGCCCCAGACCCACCGACCCCCACCCTCGAGTGGGGGAAGGGGAGGGGAAGGAAGGTCAGCTCCAAGCTCCAAGCCCTTCCAGCCAGAGCAAGGGAATGCCATCCCCCCTCCTCTAATCCCAGGTCATTAGGAGTAAGCTCTCAGTAGCCTAATGGGAAATAGGTCCACCATTCTATTTCTCTGCTTTGAGCTTTGCCACTCCTAGGAAATAGTAGACCTCCTGGATATTGACTATTCCTTCTCTGCATAGACTGCTGTCCTTGAGCCCTGGGACCTTTGCTGACCTGAACTAAGAGAGTCATAGGACCATAGGGTCATAGATGTAGGTTCTGGAAGGCCCACTCAGAGGCCATCTAATCCAACCCTCTCATTTTACAGATAAGGAAACTAAGGTCCAGGGAAGGTAAATGACTTGTCCAAGGTCAAGCGTCAGAGGTGATTTGAAATGAGATCATAAGATTTGGAAGGGACTTCAGAAGCCATCTAGCCATACACACACCCATTGTACAGATGAGGAAACTGAGGCCCAAGGAGACTGTGATCACCCCTAGATCACCCAGACAATAAGCATCAAAGGCAGGATTGAACCCAGATTCTCTTGGTTCTGATGGGGATGGGATCTAAACCCCTAAAAAGAAAAGACCATGTCTTTGGGATCTGGACCCCAAAAAGGAAAATTTCTGGACTTTTCCCAAATCTCTGGCATTTGCCTGAGGCTGCAATCCACTCAATTGGCCTTTTGTTGTGGCTATGCCCAATCTCCCAATTCTGTTTGGTTACCTCCTGATTGTGCCTGGCCACTTCCCTCCCTTAATCCTATCTAGACTCCATTCTCCCTTGGCCACATGGTCTAGGTCCCTGGCATACTGTTCACCCCAGCTTAGTGTCCACCCCCATCCAGATCCTCCTTAGACCCCTCCTCCAGTCACCCCAGACTACTTGGCCGCTCCTGGATCCCTCCCACAGTCTTTCTGTACATAAGGTCCCTCTGGCCTCCAATAAGGTACTCAGATTCTTAAGATCTGGCCCACGTGCATTAGCAATACTAATCCTCAGATTCCTTAAGAGTCTAGCCAATACGGCGGGTCTTTAATAAACCTTGTCTTTGGCTGAAAGAAGACTTGGGTCGAATTCATTCGAGCAGGATGCACGTGTCATGATTTTGGGGTCCCAGCACCCCTAAACCTCTAAACCTCAACAGTTCCAGAACTGTACAATCTCAGAGTTGGAAGGAAGCTCAGAGGGCATCTAATCCAACCTGTATTTGACCAAGAAATCTACTCCACATGCCTCATTGCTCTTAATTACTCTAGAACCTTTTCTTTGTTTTCTGTCTGGTTGTGAATTCCTGTGGCACAGTGGATAGAGTGCCAGGCCTGCAGTCAGGAAGATTCATCTGGGCAAGTCACTTAACCCTGTTTGCCTTAGTTTCCTCATCTGTAAAATGAGCTGGAAAAGAAAATGGCAAACCACTCTAGTATCTTTGCCAACCACAAATGGCACCATGAAGAGTCAGACATGAATAAAAAAACAACTGAACAACAACCAAAGTTATCCCTTTGGCTCCAGGCTGTTCTATACATTTCTGGCCATAAGTTGCCCATAGATCTCATGTCTGCCCCTACCATCCCCACTCCCCACCATGGGGAGAAAGAAAGATTTTTCCTATTTGGGTCTGAAAAAGACAGACATCCCCCAGGATGTCTTGGAGAAGGGAGGGTGGCAGGGAGGCAGGGAAAAAAAAATTAGAAAATATAAGTGATACGAACATAAAATATATCAGTAAAATTTAAAATAAAGATTCCCTTGGGCTACGGGATCCGGTGGTTGGTCCTTTCACCCTTTATGAAGGTCTTTATCATCCTATATCCCTGGAAGTCCTTTTTCCCCTCCTAGCCCCTCTTTTTTCTGTCTTGTTTGCTTGTTTGAAGCATATTCCCCAGCTGGTTGTAAAGCCTGGCTCAACTTTTTGATGAAGCTCCATTCTCTCTCCTACTATTATATGCTAGAATCCTAGCTTGGCTGTTATTAATTGTTCCATAGCCATCTCTTGAGTTTTGCAGCATGAGTGTTACTGTCTCCTCCAATCACAAGCAAGGCTTCTCATCTTTTCCTATATCAAAGTCTGTGCTTCCTTTCAGCCCATTCACTAGAACAGGGCTTTTTTGTTGTTCAGTCATTTGAGTTGTATCCAACTCTTTGTGACCCCATTTTGGGATTTTCTTGGCGAAGATTCTGGAATGGTTTGCCATTTCCTTCTCCAGCTCATTTTACAGATGAGGAAACTGAGGCAAACAGGATTAAGCGACTTGCCCCGAGTCACACTGCTAGTAAGTGTTTGAGGCTGGATTTGATCTCAGGAAGATGATGAGTCTTTCTGATTCTAAGCCCAGTGCTCTACCCACTGGGCCACCTAGCTGCCCCAGAATAGTGCTCAGCATAGTACTTTACATATGGTAGAGGCCAGTGGTATGTTGGAGCCAGCTCTTACCAGTTCATGAGAGCCAACTGTTAAATTTTCAGTGTGAGGATTAATTCACACCTCAAAAATCACAACAAGACAAATCAGGGCTTAATTTATTGTTTCATTAATCATTTAGACTTAAGAAAGTGATAGAGAAAATGTGGATAATGCAGATTAAATGTAAAAGTGTATCATGCATACAATTGGGGAAAGGAGGAAGAACCTGTTATTAAACATTTACCAGCATAACCCTGGTAATGGCTTAATAAACATTTATTGAATGAATGAAAGAATTCATTATTGAGGACTTCCTCTGTTTTCTGTCTGGGGAAGAGAAAAGAGGTGCCTTGCTTGTCCTGGGTTTAATGAATGACCAAACCTTTCCTGGCTCAAGATCACCAGCTCTACCCACTTCTCTAGGTTCTCTCTGATGCTGATTCATTGCTGAGGTCGTTTCAGAAGAGGAGTAAAATTATTCCTTTCTTACAGTAAATGATCACTTAAATCCACTGCAAATCTTCATATACATACTTCCCACCAAGATTTAGAGGAAGGTACTGGATAAAATCTGAAATCCTTTAGATTGGCATTAAAGGCCCTTCATAATCTGGTCCCCCATGCCCAACACTATCTCCCACTACTCCCCTACATGTTTGAACTATTTGTCTGTAGGAACCCAGAGTGGTCTGGTCTGTTCTCCATTTCCTGAACATGTCATACAAATTCCCACCTCCATCCCTTTGCTCACAGGACCCACTGCCTGGAATGCCTTCCCCATTCTTAGCTACTTGCCTAAGTCCATTCATGACCCAACTGAAGTCCCCATTCCTTGAGACTTTCCCCAACTACCCCAGGCTGGAGTAATCTCTGCTTCCTTTGAGCTCCTATAACAAACACATGATAAATATTATTCATAGATATCTCAGATTTTTCTGTACATTTGTTCAGTCATTCAACAAAAAGCTTAAAACACTGTCTCTCCCCTCAAATGCTTTGTGCATAGCAAGCGCCTGATAAAGGACCACATCTATATCCTTTCTGTCCCAAGCATCTAATATCTTTTGTATCTCAGTGCCCAGAATATAGTATATTCTGAGATTTAGATTGAGATTTAGATGGAAGGGACATCAGAAGCCATCTAATCCAAGCTCTCATTTTGCAACTGGGGAAACTGAGGCCTGTAGAGGGCAAGTGACTTGCCCAAGATCACACAAGTATTAAGCCTCAAAGGTAGGATTTGAACTCAGAGCCTCTGACTCCCGAGCTCTTTCCATTGTACTATGGAGACAATCAATAAATGTTATCCCCTAAGCTACCTCTTTCAGGAAGCCTGAACTCTCTGACCCATAATGACCTTTCCCTTTAGACTCCACACGTCATCTTGTTTTGTTAATCTTTGATGCACTTAACATGGAATACTGGGTATTTTTGATGTCCTATCGCCCTACTAGATAGGAAGCTTGTGGCTTCCCCACCGTCATAAGCAGTGCTCAGCACACAAGCAGTTTAATAAATATTCATTGTGAGAGGTGGCTAGGTGGTGCAGTGGATAGAGCACCGGCCCTGGAGTCAGGAGGACCTAAATTCAAATCCAACCTCAGACACTTGACACTTCCTAGCTGACCTTGGGCAAGTCACTTAACCCTGATAGCCTCACCAAAAAGAAAATAAATATTCATTGTATAGACAGTGGCAGGGTCATGGCTTGAGAGGCTTCATCTGTGAGCCCCCTTCCACTCTGTCTAGGTCCCTGGTTGGGCTGATGGGAAAGGTGCCCAGCTTTATTTTTGCCTTTTCCTTGGAAAGCCTCCTTCCCTGACCTCCCTATCCTGCCCCAGCCAATCGCTTTGCTCTCCAGAGGCAGTCTTCAAAGTTGTGTTCTAGTTCAAAACCAGTAGTCAACCTTTCCCCCTGATACCTGGAATGAAATCCCTACCTGACTGGTCCTGAATTCAACTTCCAAGCCCCCTCACCTTCTAGGAAGCAGATCCTGGACTCTGGCAGCTTCTTCATCAACCGTCCCATGAAGAACTCAGAACCAAAGAGCTCAGAGGGGATGAAGGCCCCATATTTCAGGAAACCAATCTCATAGGGGGAGAACTCCACCCATTCTGCACAAGGAGAGAAGAACAGATGTGGAAGGGGAGGAGGGGAGGGGGAAGGAGAAAAGAGGGAGGTGCTGTCCAGGGCTGGGCAATGGCAAGGGCTATTGACCCAGCAGGACCCACCCTCCAAAGTCTTCCTCCTTCTCGCAGGGGTTAGGTAGCTGGCATTTGTTCAAAGGATATCGAGGACCCCAGGGTTGACCATTCTATCTATCCCACACATCCCCGTACCCATAGGAAGCTTTATAATCTATTGGCCTACTTTGTAGAACGTATGTGTGTGTTTGTATGTGGATGGGTTATGGTGGGAGGGGAGTGGTTGAGGACAGGGAGGATGTGGGTATGAGTGTGGGTGTGGCCATTACCCTAGTGAACTCTTGAAATAGCCTTCCCATTGGTTTCTCTGCCTCAAGTCTCTCCCATCTCCAATCCATCCTCCACAAAGCTGGCAAAGTGGTTTTCTAAAGCACAGGTCTAACTGTGCTACTCCCCTGCTCAATAAACTCCACTGGCTCTCCACTACCTATAGAATCAATTGTAAACTTCTCTATTTGGCATTTAAAGCTCTTCACAGCCAGGCCTCAATCTGCTTTTACAGCCTTATTATACATTATTCTGTTTCATGTGCTCTTATAGTTTAGCCAAAATGGCCTTCATGCCATTTCTCACCCCCAGAACTCTATCTGTCACCTATATACAGACTATCTTCCATGCCTGGGATGCACTTCCTCCTCACCCCCATATTGTTTCCTTCTCAAGCTTCATGTTAGGTGCCTCCTCCTACCTGAAGCCTTTCCTGATCCCTTTTCTCCCTGTCCCCATCCCCCAGTGCCAAGGCTCCCCTCCCAAAATTAACCTGTATTTACTGTCCAGCTATTCTGTACCTACTAAGTTATATGCATATTGTCTCTCTCAATCGATGTAAAAAGGACAGACTTTCATTTTTTTTGTCTCCCCAGCACCTAGGACAGTGCCCAGTAAACTATAAACATCTGATAGATGCTGGATGACTGACCGACTATTGACTGTGTTCATGTGGGAGTAGAGTTCATACTTGACTCTGAGGAGGATCTCAGGCTCCTTGGACCTGGGGGGAGGAGATGACTTCGATTGGAGGTATTTTACCTTTGAAGTCCAGGGTCCCCAGGTTGTTTTCTTTGACGTTTAGACCAAGGTATAGTGGAAGTGGATTCTGGCCCTGCTCCAATGAAGCCCTCTGCTCTGACAATTTGTGCTCTGTTACCTGAGAATGGGAGAGTAGCTGAGCTGAAGAAATGGCTGGGGAGTCCACCCTACAAGGGAAGAACAAGGCCCTGGACTCATATTTATGATGGGGGCCTTTACTGAATCTCTTCCCAAACTATGGAGGGGACAAGACTGGAGAGTGGGGTCTGGATAGAGGGCCGTCCCTATTGCATTAATCCTTCCTCTCCCCTAGTCTGAAGAGCAGAATTCCTAGGATAGAATGGAGATGATAGATACCTAAAATCCCTCACCCCCAAAATGGACTCTCTTCTCCACCGCCTGGTATTTAGGGAAATGCCTCTAATTTAGAATGCAGGCTCTGTGGGGAGATAGGGTTGCACTCTTTGATTTAAATACATGCCATTCCCCTTATCAAATCCTTTCCATCCTTCAAATTTCACCTCCTCCTGGAAGCCCAGGGATCCTGAAATAGGAAGGCCTTTTTCAGCTCCTACTGACTGCTCTTATTCCTAACATTCCAAGCAACTTGTAGTATGATGGCACCGCTTGAGATACAATCAAAATTTAGACCTAGAAGGGGTTTCAGTAGTCTAGTACAATGCCCTCATTTTACAGACAAGGAACCTGATGCCCAGAGAAGTAAAGGGATTTGCCCAACCAAGTACGTCAAAGAACCAGAGAATCTCAGCTTTGGAAGGGGCCTCAGAGGCCACCAACCTACCCCTAGGCAAAATTCCACTTTCCAATATCCCTGACAAGTGCACTTCCTGTGCCTGAAAATCTTTGGTGGACGAAAGCACATTAGCTCCCAAGATAGACCATTCCACATTTTTGACAGCTGTTGCTGTTAGGAAGCTCCCTGACATCAATCCAAAATTCATCTCTTTATAATTTCCACTCATTGTTATTAGTTTTATCCTCTGGAACAAAGAAGGACAAATATATCTAGTCCTCCATCCATGTGATAAGTCTTCAAATATTTCAAGATAGCTATAATATATTACGTCCCTCAGGAACTTCTCTTCTGTAAGCTAAACACCCTCAATTCTTTTAATCGTCCACGTGGAATGAACTTGTGGCTCCTCACCATTCTGGTTGCCCTCCTCTGGGTGGTCTCCACCTCCAGTGTCCTTGGGAGAGCTGGGACAAAGAGACTCCAATCTAGTCTTGAATTCTAGTTGAGTTCAAGAAATGAACTCAACTCAACTCTAGTCCTTTGAAACCCAGTCCAATAATCTCTTCATTATATCATAACTCAGGAATATACTGTCATTTCATACCCTCATATTGTTCCATAAGTGCTAGTCTCTTGTTGCCAGCTAGACTGTTAGCTCTTTAAAAGTAAAGGTTGTGTCTTGTATTTATTCTGTATCTCTCCTCCCCATACCTAACACAGTGTTAGCCACAAAGCACTATGAACTGAATTTTTTTTAAGATGGACATTGAAATGGATTTAATTTGGTTTTCTTTTTAAAGACCTCCAAATCCAAAACAGCTTAAAGTGTATTTGAACTAAATTACAAATGTTGTGTCAAGCTCCTGATCTCTGGCTCCATTTTCTGTTTTCAATTATTTTGGTACAAGTTCTTTTTTCAGATTCTTCTCATGCCCTTTTAAGGGATCATCTTGCAGTAGCTCAAAAGAAACATGAGATGTACAAATTTGGAGACATCTCCACTTTAAATGTTCACGTGGACTATTTGTGCCTGATCTGTGGTAGAGCATTCCAAGCTCATATTGGTCTGATCAGCCACAGCTGGACACACTGTAAGTTGACTCTAACATAATGATGTCGTTTTGATTCTCATAGAGAACCAAGGACAACCATCATCATCACCACCAAGGGATTTTCCAGCATCACCATTTTCCTATTCTTCATCACTGTCAAATTTTGTTTTCTTTACTTGGACTGTCATCTCAGGTGTACTCTTGGCAGTTTTTTAAACCCCTTCATTTTCCTTTAAATTTGCAACCTTTTGGCTTCAACTTATTTAGTAATTCCTTTGGATCCTCAATGATTTTTTTCAAAGCTTCTTTCTCTGTTTCTCTTAATGCTTTCCATGCAACATTTGTTTCTTAATGTTAAGTTTCCATTATTTGCTTCATTGGCTTTATCCAATTCTTTTGTCTTTCTTTTCTTTTTTTAATTTTAACATTAATTTTTTTTCATTTTCAGTTCCAAATTCTCTCTTTCCTTTCCATCCAAAATATATTTTCATATTAGGCATGTTGGGTGAAAAAGCCAAGAAAAATAAAGCAAAAAATGTACTTCAATCTGCACTCAGAGTTCATCCATTCTCTCTCTCTGGAGGTGGATATCATTTTTCATCATGAGTACTTTGGAACTGCCATGGATCATTCTATTGATCGGAGTTGACAAGTCTTTCACAGTTGATTACTTTTGCAAAATTCACATTGCATCAGTTCATATAAGTCTTCCCAAGTGTCTTTTTTAACTCATCCCCTTCATCATTTCTTGATGAAGTAAAGGGATTTGCCTTTACACAGTAGTATTTCATCACAATCATATACTACAAGTTGTTCAGTCATTCCCCAATTGATGGGCATCCCCTGGATTTCCAATTCTTTGCCACCAAAAAAAGAACTACTCTAAATATTTTTGTACCTATAAGTCCTTTTCCTTTTTCTTTTATCTCTTTGGGATATAGACCTAGTAGTAGTATTATTGGGTCAAAGGGTATGCACAGTTTTATAGCCCTTTTGGCATTTACCTTTTCTCCAAGTCAAATTGTTATCTCTTTTGCTATTCTTATGAAGTCTAAACACTTTATTTCTCCGTGATAAGAGAAAGGTGGATGGAGATCTTCTCTATGGGCTTGATCATCTAAATCACCCAAATTCTCTTTTCATTCAGGGATTTCAGCTTATCATCTTAAGCATGCTTCTGTTTTCCTTCTGTCACGTTTAGCTTTTCCTTTAGCTTCTAGTTTATTTTGCTTCCTTTCTTCATTCTCTAATGCCTTCCCTCCATTAATCATTTCCTATCTATCCTGTATACAGCTTACTTTGTATATATTTGTTTCCCCCATTAGACTATAAGCATTGTCTTTTACCTATTTTTGTAGCCCCAGTGCTTAGCACAATGCCTGGCACATAGTAGGCACTTAATAAATGTTGATGGATTGAACGATTGATTGATTGATTTTTTGCAAAGTAATGTTCCTTAAAAAGCATCAGCAGTTCCATATTTTTGTTATTTTTGTCCAGGGGGTTCTATAAACTCCTTGGCAGATTAAATACTATCAAACATAGCAAATATCAATCCTTCTAATGCTTTTAATGTTCTCCTCATTTGAATATTTTATATTTGACCTTTATCTTCTAACCATTCTTTTATGGAATCAAGGGTTCCATCTGCTGGAAAACCTGTAACAAAAGTGGATCTGTTTTTTACTTCATTTTGAGACTCCCCTGTTACTTCAGGGAAAGCTTTTCTTGGAGGTGTTTTGATTTCTTATTATGGGTATTTATCCTCACTAACTTCCTGGAGTTCTGCCTTTGATTCTTTTAGAACACTTCTTATCACATCAAAATCTTTTGTTAGTTTGCTTAATCTGTTGAATTTGATCATTATCTCCAAAGGTAGGTACCTTCATCTATCTTGATGCGTTCCTTTAAAATTTTGTCTCATATTGTGATAGAATACTATTATGCTTTAAGAAATGATGAGCAGGAGACTTTCAGAAAAGCCTGGAAAGACTTAGATGAATTGAAACTAAGTGAAGTGAGCAGAACCAGGAAAACATTGTACATAGTAACAGTAATATTGTACAATGATCAACTGTGCATGACTTAGCTAATCTCAGTGATATAATGGGGCAGCTAGGGTACAGTGGATAGAGCACCGGCCCTGAAGTCAGGAGGACCTGAGTTCAAATTTGGCCTCAGACCAAACACTTGATACTTACTAGCTGTGTGACCCTGGGCAAGTCACTTAACCCCAATTGCCTAAAAAAAGAAGAAGAAGAAGAAGAAAAAAGAAATCTCAGTAATACAATGATCCAAGACAATTCTGAAGGACTCGTGATGAAAAATACTATCCATCTCCAAAGAAAGAACTGATGGTGCTGAACGAAAATTGAAACATACTATTTTTTTTTTACTTCATTTTTCTTGTTGTTGTTTGAGTTTTGGGTTTTGGGTTTTGTTTGGCTTTTTTTTTTTCTTTTTTTTGCTCTGTGTTTTCTTTCACAACATGATTAATATGGAAATATATGTTGTTTGACTTATACCCCATATCAAATTGCTTGCCTTCTCAATGACAGGGGAGGGTGGGAGAGAATTTGGAACTCAGATTTTTTTTAAAATGAATGTTAAAACATTTTACATGTGATTGAAAAAAAATTTGAAAAGGAAAAAAAAATTGTCTCAAAGAATGTTAGTCACCAGAATAGTGCTATTCTGCCAGCTTCCTTCTGACTCACTCCTCAGTTTGCTCTGACAATGGAGCTGCCTGGCTTTTCCTCTATTTAAAGGCCAAGGTGGCCTCCCCTTGGGGGAGGGGGAGTGATGGTGGAGAAGGGTGCTTCCAATTGAATTTTATGGAAGATATTTAAAGTGTTTTTTTCCCTCACAATCTGGCTCTATGCAATCTACCTTTGCAGGTTTATTACATCGTGTTCTTCTTCATGCTTTCTATGTTCCAAGCAAACTGGCCCACTTGCCGTTCTTCATACACAACTTCCCACCTCCTTGACTTTGCATGGGCGATTGCCATGACTGGAATGCACTCCCTCCTCTGCTCTGCCTTTTAGAATCTCTAACTTTCTTCCACAGCTCAGCTTAACTGCCACAGCTTGCCTGAGGCCTTTCTTGTTCCCCACTGGCTGCTGGTGCCTCCTCCCCCTAAAATTACCTTTATTTTGTTTATATTTTGTATTCCTTCAATATGTTGTTTCCCTATGCACCATAAGGACAGATCTTGTTTTTATTTTTCTCTTTTTATCCCTAGCACCTGGCACAGTACAAATTGGCACATAGTAGGTATTTAAATAAGTGCTTATTGATTGACAGACTGGCCAGTTCATAAGCCAATTCAAGCCCATACATGCTTCTTCCCCTGATAGAGTATAAATGCTATGAGGGCAAGGCTCCTGTTTTCATTCTTGTTTTTGTATCTTCCCCAATACCTAGCACAGTATCTGGCATGTTGAACACATACATACATGCACATCCCAGTGTATGCATGCACATACATAAGCCCACAGCTAGACCTCACCTTGCCATGTAAGAGGAACTCCAGGACTAGGGCCCACAGGTCGACAAAAGAAGGGGGTCGCCCCTCCTCGGCCCGCCGTCTCAGCTCCTGCTGGTACCCTTTCATGCGCCCCAGAGAGAAGGCTCCCAGCTTGCTCTTGGTCATGTGCTCTCGGGCATGGCAGATGGGCTTCTCCAGGTCCTGCTGTGACCAGTCAGGATCTGCGTACAAGCTAGCTAAAGTCCTGAAGGGCAGGGGGAGAGGGCTGCCTTGAAGCCAGGAGGGACTGGGTGGTGTCACTGAACTCCTCCTCTTCATTCCAGACCCCTAAATGAGGCCCCCAGCCTGGGGAGAGCAGCAAAGTGCCGCCACCTGATGGATCTCCTGCATGGTGACCAGACTTCTAATTTCCTCTCTGCTCTTCTGTTTTCTCTCTCCCTACACTGAACGTGACTATCCTGTATTCTATTCTCCCAGAGTCTTACCCTTAGCTAGCTGTCAGGTAATCAGTCTCCTCTTAGGTGTTAACTAACTGTAAGCTTAAGGTTAGATCTCTTAATTTTTGTGTTTTTAACAAGGCACTGAAAATGCTGTAAGAATTCTTTAGGAATACCATTCAAAGGAATGAATCTCTAGCCAAAAAGTTTCAGATCCTGTGATAACAGTGAGAGAGATATTTGGGGGTGGGGATTTGGGGGTTTTTCACCCCCCGTGCCCTTCAGATCACACTATGTGTACCCATTCCATCCCTTCTCCCATAGGCCTCCTATTAATTTCTTCATACCCCATCTTCCCTTCTACATGGGCTCCCCAGCTTCCCTACAGGGACCTCACCAGGTAGATCCTGAAGTGCCACTTATGTAGGTTACACAGTCCAGGAGGTCCAGTTTCTTGAGGGCAGAGAGATGGCCATACAAAGACGTCATTGCCCGAGCCCCTCCACCAATGGCCATGACCCCGACGACTGGAACCTGTGACCACAATTAACAACAGATACCACACAGTAAGAAACTGAGGCTCAGGGAGTCTGGGTGCTTTGCCCTCCGTCATACAGATGGCTAAGTATCAGAGGTGGTATTTGAATTCACACCATGGGATCATAAATGCAGAGCCGGCCTCTTAAAGGCTAACACCCTCATTTTCTATATGAAAAAACTGAGGTGAAAGAAGGTTTAAGTGACTTTGCCCAAGGCCACACAAGTACTAAAACATCAGGCAGGATTTGCTCATAGTCATAGAAAAAGTAAGTGAGGCCCATCAGAAAGTCTATTGGAACGAGTCAGAGAATGTGAGTTCAGATCCCAGCTCTGCTACCTACCCTGTGTGACCTTGAACATGACCTTTAACTTCTCTGGGTCTGTTTCAGCTCATATAAGCGTTCCCAAGTTCTTCTGAAAGGGTTCCTCTCGTCATTTCTTACAACACAATAGTATTACATTCATATACTAGATGCAGAATGAGACATACATTTTTTAAACATGGTCCATGTGGAAATTTGTTTTGCTTGACTATGCATATCTATTTCAAGGGTATGGGGTGTGTGTGTGTGTGTGTGTGTGTGTGTGTGTGTGTGTGTGTGTGTGTTTCTCCCTGTCGAGGTTGGGGGGAGATGGGAGGGAGAAAAAATAAATGCTCATTAATTTTTTTTTAATTTTAATACAAAAATAACTTCTCTGAATCTGTTTTTTCATCTAGCCTCGTACCTCTACCTCAGCTGCTGGTGCTCCATCTGCCAAATTATTTCATATATATTTTGTCTTACTTACATGTATATATTGTTGTTTCCCCTGGTTTTGTGTTTTTTGTTTTTTTTTGTTTTGTTTTACACATACATCCCTAGGGGATGAGGGGCAGTTAGCCCAGAAATAAAGAAACAAACATTCAGGGAGTTCTCATTTTACTTCATAGAAAAGAGACCATGATGTGGAATGGAAAGAGCCAAGATCTGCAGTTAAAACATGACTCTGACACTTATTGGCCATATCAAGTCAATGAGCATTTATAAGGCACTTAACTTTCCTTTGCCTCAATTTCCCTATCTGTCAAATGGAAGTAATATAACATGATATATGTGTATGTATAGGATATATAGTATATATACATATATGTACATATATAATATATAGTGTGTGTATGTGTGTGTATATATATATATACATTTATCTCACAGGCATATTGTAAGAATGAAGTGAGAAAATGAGATAGTATAAAAAGCTGGTAGAATGCAAATCCTTGAGAACAGGCTTTCATTTTTGTCTTGGTGTCGCTAGAAGCTAGCACAATGCCTGGCAGGTAGTAGGCATTTAATGAATGCCTTTTGACTGCTGGATAGATGACCAGATTGATCTATAAAATGAAGGGTTTGGATTAGATGACCTCACATAGACCTTTCCAATTTTCAATCGAGGCTCCCAAGATCCTGAAAGCAGAACCAAAATTTGAGCCCAGATCTTTTTTCCCCTAATGGGCAGAGCTTGGCATAATGGGAGAAAAGCAGGAGCCCGTTACCAAACCCACCCCAGCTCATCCCTCAAACCTCATCCTCCTGCAGCTCATGCTCCAGCTGCAAAACCCGCTTCAGGGCCTTGGCCACCACCTGCTTCCTCTTCCTCAGGAAGGCTTGTTCCTCATCACACAGCCCGAAGCCCAGGCGAACAGCTGGCTCTTCAGAGCTGTGACGGGGATGGAAAGGAGAAGGTAAATCATGGAGACCCTTAGAGATCCAGGGCTCCTCTGAGCCCCTATTGAGGGGAGCCTATGTGTCCATCCTACTGACCATTCTCTCCCATCTGGATCCTCCCAGTGCTCATTCTCTGCTCCCCACAGCCCCTTCCCCTGCCCTCCACAGTTCCAAAGGTAGTCTCTTACCAAGAATTGGCCCTGAGCTTCAACTTCAATGCTGTGGCCTATAAATAAGAGGAAGAATTTTATTCATACATTAAAAACCATCCCATTGGACCACCATTGGTACTGTATGCTCCAAGGATTCTGCTTTTCTTGGAGCTAAAAGTCCTGGATCCATCCCCCTTCCATCCATACCCTCATAGTACCAATCTCTCCATGACCACCCCAGGAACTGGCAGCCAGCCAGAGAATCACATCCAGGAAACTGCTTACATCTGGGGCAGGAACGGCAACTGCCACCTCCTCCCCCAGAGGCAGGTACTTCAGGGGCACAGTGAGATTCTCGGCAGGACTGCCCTCACCCTCTGCACCAACTGCAAGGCTCTGTAAAGCAAAGGGACCTGTCAGTAGCTGTCAAGAGGAGACAAGACCCCATCTGTGCCAGATTTCTAAGGAGGTCTCCTCAGCCCCCATGACCATTCAGGCAGGGCCACCAGGTACCTCCATCACCTTAGTCACTTTTGAGGAGGAAGATAGCTAGCAGGGAGTAGCTGCTACCTGCACCAGCCAGTGGAAAGACATCCTCAGACCAGCCTCAGTGGTGTGAGGGCAAGAGAGATGAGAAAATCGTAGACTTAGAGCAGGAAGGGACCTTGGTCATGGATAGACTTAGAATCAGGAAGGCCTTAGTTTAAATCCTACCTCAGACACTAGCTATGTGATCTTGGCCAGTTCACCTAACCTCTCTATGCCTCAGTTTCGTCATCTATAAAATGGGGATAATAATAGAACCTATCTTTCAGGGTTGTAGTGAAAATCAAATGAGATAACATATGTAAAGCATTTGGTAAAACTTAAGCACTATATACATTTTAGTTATTATTTACAGATGAAAAAACTAAGGCCACGTAGCTAGTATGTGTCCAAGGAAGGATTTAAATTCAGCTTTTCCTGACCACAAGTCCAGTTCTCTCTCCCCTATGCCTCCTAAAGATTAGGTGTTGGGGGCAGGGGAAACATTCCAAGCAACTAAGACCTACCTTCAGGCAACCCCTCATCTCTGTTTCTTGAGCTGTTATATAGTGGAAGAGGAAGGAGTCTACCATACCAGAGCCCAGAGCAGAGATCTGAGTGTCTTCATAGGATCCCTTCAATGTCAGCTCTAGCTCATCCTTCTCTGAGGAAAGAAGGTGGGGAGGTTCAAGATTGGGTCTGCAGCGCTCCTTACTTTAAATAAGCTAACAGAATGCTGTCCCAGTCTTGCACACATAAGATACTTGGGACCATTTTCTCAATCCCAGCTACTCCACGCCAGACAGAGACAGCATGGTGTAAAGCAGCGGTGGGGACCTGTGGCCTCAAGGCCACACGTGGCCTTCTAGGTCCTCGGGGGTGGCCTTTTGACTGAGTCCAAGTTTTACAGAACAAATCCTTTTATTAAGGGGACTTGTTCTGTGAAGTTTGGATTCAGTCAAAGGGCCGCACTTGAGGACCTAGAGGGCCACAAGTGGCCTCGAGGCTGCAGGTTCCCCTGGTATAAAGAAAAAAATAAGCAACTTGGAGTAAGATGAGACCTGGCTTCTGCCATCTGCCAGTTGTCTGACCGTGGGCAAGTCACTTAACATCTCAGAGGCTCAGTATGTCATTTGTAAAATGAGGGCTGGCCATATTTGTAGTGCACACCTCACAAGCCTTTTGTGAAGCTCAAATGACATAATGTATGTAAGTGCTTTGTAAAACCTTAAGGCGCTATATACATGCTATTATTACTATTATCATTAAACTGCTTTATAAAGGTCAGCTAGGTGGTGCAATGGAGAGAGCACAGGGCCTAGAGTCAGAAAGATCTGAATTCAAATCTAACTTCAGATACTGTGTGACCTTGGGCAAATCATTTAACCCCTATTTGGCTCTGTTCCTCATCTGTAAAATGGGGATGCACTGGAGAAAGAAACGGTGAACCACTCCAGTATCTTTGCCAAGAAAAGCCCATGGGGTCTGGGTCAGGATGTCTTGTTCAAATAACACCAAGGAGGGGGCGTCAATGGATCAAAAAATGTGAGTGTGGGGAAAGTGTGAAGTATAAGAGGCCTAAAAAGGGGGAGGGAGAGGGGAAGGGCCCAGAGCGATAACAACCATTGCCTGAACCATTAACTGAACAATAGTACTGTCTCAAGGCCCCTGTTCTCTCCTTCAGAGCCACAGAGACCTCCCTGCCTAGAAAAGCTGTGTTACCATCCCCTTTAATGCTGTGAAAGTTGAGTAAGATTAGGACTAGGAAACCCATCCCAATACAGAGCCTATCATAGATGCCCCTCAGCAATGTTCCTTGTCCCCAGGCCGGGTAGACTCTGCTTCTCCAGGATGACAAACTCACAGAATCTCAGAGTTGGAAGAAGGAACCTCACAAATCAATGATATTCCTAAAGATCTGAGCATCTCACTCTCCTGCTGGAATTACAGTGGCTCACTATTGCCTGAAGGGAAAAATACAAACTCTTCTGGCCATACCTTTACATAGATTGTTCCCTAGTCTTGGAATGGATTCCTACCTCACCTCTGCCTCTTACCATCCCTAGCTTCATTCCAGGCTCAGCTCAACTGCCATCTCCCAACCCCCGCTCCTAGCACCCTCCCCCAAGAAATGACTTGGTATTTATTGCATTGTCAATATATTGATTGTACTATCGTATATTGTATATATAGTATATATAATAATACATAAAATACACAATAACATATATAATAATATTACACATATAAAATATGTAACATATATTGTATATGTACAAAGTACATTATAGATATATTATATACACAAAGTATATTGTATATGCATTTATTGTATTATTGTGCATATAATTTGTATATTGTATTATGGTTATTGTTGTTCAGTTGTTTTAGTCGTGTCTGACTCTTCATGACCCCATGGACTTATCTATGGGTTTTTCTTGGTGAAGATACTGGAGTGGTTTGCCATTTCCTTCTCCAGTGTGTCCCCACACTGCGGGAGTTAGATTAGATTACTTCTAAGGTCCCTTCCAACTCTAAATCTACTACCATTAATACATGTTTGTTGGATGGATGGATGGATGGATGGATGGATGGATGGATGGATGGATAGATGGAGGATGGATGAATGAACAAATGAACTATCTGGTCCAACTTAGATCTGGTCAGGAGCTCTCTCTTCAACATCCCTGACCAGTGATCATGCAACTCTACTCAAAGTCTTCTAAGTGAGGGGCAAGCTACTACCAAGGTAACCCATTCCATACAGGGCAGCTCTAATTATTAGGGAGCTTTTAATAATAGCAAGCCAAGGACTTCCTCTCTGCGCTTTCTGCTCCTAGTTCTTGCCCTCAGGGGCCAAGCAGAAAAAATCATATCCTTTGACAGGACAATCCTTCACATATGTGAAGACATCTATTGTGTCCCCCAAAGAACTCTCTTCTCCAGGCTAAAACATTGCAACCAAACTTTAGGCAATGGTTGTTATCGCCCTGGGCCCTTCCCCTCTCCCTCGCCCTTTTTAGGCCTCTTATACCTCACACTTTCCCCACACACACATTTTTTGATCCATTGACGCCCCCTCCTTGGTGTTATTTGAACAAGACAATCCATCTCCCAACTGTCATTTTCTCTGACTGTCTCTCATGCCCAGAATGCTCTCCCTCTTCACCTCCACCTTCTGGTTTCTCTGGCTTACTTCAAGTCCCAGGTCAAACCCCGCTTTCTACAGGAAGCCTTCCCCAATCCCTCTTACTTCTAGGGCCTTCCAGCTATTGATTGTTTGAACATAGTTGTTTGCATGTTGTCTCCTGCATTAGACTGGGAGCTCCTTGACTGCAGAAGCTGTCGTTTGCCTTTCTTTGTACATCCAGTGCTTAACATAGTGCCTGGCACATAGTAAGCTCTTAACAAATTTTTATTGACTAATTGATTCTGGGTCACTCTCCTCTGGGTACACTTAAGCTTATCAGTGGCCTCTCTAAAATGTGGTGCCCTGACTCGAATTCAACAATCCAAATAAGGAGGACGATGGCGGGAATGTTACTTGCCATGTCCTAGGGTTGGTTCTGGACATGATTTGGGGCTCACCTGTGACGGCTGCTGTGCTCCCCATCTTGTCCACCCGCACAGTCAGACGAGATAGCTCCCGGGTCTAGAACAGATAGTGTAAAGGAAGAGAGGGATGGTGGGGTCCAAGGCCTGGTTTTCCCCATCACCCAACTCTGAGGACCGTGTATCTACCCTCCCTGCCCCAAATCCAGGCTATGAAAATGGATATGGGAAGGAAAGCAAGTCTTGCTGGATAATCTCCTAGTTTTTCCTCAGGACCTGAGGGCTAAAAGACCCAGAAGCTGCCTCCAGATTCCTGCCCTCAGTGTTCTGGAGACCAAGAGAATAAATAGTTTTGTTGAACTCTCCAAGATTCAAGCAGGAGTCTTTTAGAACATCTCATCCCCAGTTCTCAGGCAGGCAGGTCCCAGAGCAGTTGTACATGGAATCATACTCCCACCTGGTGGCCGTGTCTCAGGACTGAACCTTCCCGAGGTCTGTGCTGCTTCATGCCCTAACTCTGAACCAGCATAGAGATGAGTTAGGTCACCCACCCCAAACCGCAAGTTCTTAGAATGGAAGCACAACAAAATTTGGAACTCAAAACTTAAAAAAAAGTTCAAAAATTGTTTTAATGCATAATTGGGGGAAAATAAAATATATTAAATTAAAATCCTTCTAAGAATAAGAAAAAAAAATGGAAGTACAGTAGGTCAGCAAGTCACTGAAACTTCTCTGGGTCTCAGCTGGCTCAACTGTAAGATGGGGGTAAAATATCCTGTGATTCTGTGATGTAATGTTCTTGAAGGAAGAGGACCAAGCCAGATTATTTCTTGACATCCTTTCCCAACCTAATATATATGATCCTAAGCTTAATCAGGAAGTGTAGAGACCTGGAAGCCACTTGGAATTCCCAGCTCCATTTCCTACAGCTCTCACTGGGATGTTCCTAAGTGTCCCAACTTCCTCCCTCCATCCCTGGCCCAGGGGGTAGTGCCAAGCAGGGGTATGCAAAAAAAATTATTTTCACATTTTCATTGTGAGCATCTATACCTCAGAAACTGGCAAAAACAACACGTCAGGACTTGGTGTATTGTTTTGTTGATTCTAAACCTAAGAAAGTGTTAATAATTCAGATTAAATTTAATTTTTTTTTCTCCAGAGAGGTGGTTGTTAAACATTTACCAGCACGCCTCTGATGTCAAATGAACAGGCCTAATCAGGCATTGCCATTTTGAAGCCCTGTCTGGGCCTGAGGGATGGGTGAGATAGAGAACATTTTAGGCACCAGGTTTTTCCAATCTTAAGTACTTGCCCTGACCCTCTAGCCCCCTTATTCTGACATCTCAAACCCCCTGCTCTGATTTTCTCTTCCTAGAGAAAGCCCCCACGATCTGGTTACCACAAGGACTTTGTTGGTGATGAGATTTTCTGGAGAATCCGATCTGTAGAAATCAAAGCATTTAGAATCAGACAGGGAAAAGGGAATGGGAAGCAAAGTAAACCCTCCTTGTCCTGGCCTGCGCCTAAGATTTCTCAGAGACTGAGGGAGCTCAGAATTCCAGCCCTATCTACACACACACACACACACACACACACACACACACACACACACACACGTACATACACACAAAACTTCCCACAGCCAGGAACAGTTGGGATGAGTCTCTGCCCCTCTCAGACTTCCTACCCCAAATTGGGGAATAAATCCAATACAGTCTCACTGAATCTTAGTAAGGGGCTACCCAGGTTGTCAAGGGTTCTAAGCTAGGAAGGCTAAATATTGAGCACATTCTGAGGGAGTTTTATGGGAACTCTAGGTAGTTCTGAAACAATTCTCCTACTCACACCCAAAATAGCTACTAGATTGCACTTCTACAGCACTTTAAGGTTTGTACTTTTTTCACATTATCTCATTCTATCCCAACACCCCTATGAGGTAGGTGCTATTATTATGCTTATTTTAGAGACGAGGAAATGAAGGCTGAGAGAAGCCTAGGTCGCACAGCTAGTAACTGTCTGAGGAAGGATTTAAACCTAGGTCTTCCTGACACCAAATCAATGCTCTATGCACTATACCACCTAATCTCCCCTCCCCCTACCCAGAACAAAAAAAGACCCAAACTTTTTGCCATAGTCAGGGACAACAAGGGAATAAGATCTTTGGGAAAATCCAGATGTCAGCACTGCCTTCTGCTAGACAGACACCCTTGAATGTCCAATAGAAAGCTAGAGACCTGGGACAGGACCTAGAGAACCCCAATCAGAAATAGGCTCTGTCCTCTTCCATTACACACGCATGACTTTCCACTCTACTTGCTTTCCATATGTACTCACATTTCCTCTACCTGGAACTCCACATCCAGCTCCTCCTGTCCCTGAAATCCCAAGAGGAAAGGAACAGATGAAGGAACCCTCCTTATCTCTCCCTGGATGCTCAAGCCTATATCTAGCAATCAATAAACATTCATTAGGTGTCAACTATGTGCCAGGTGCTGGGTGGTATCCCCTGGTGCCAAGCAAAGGACAACGGGGGGGGGGGGCAGCTAGGTTGCACAGTGGATAGAGCACTGGCCCTAGAGTCAGGAGCACCTGAGTTCAAATCTGGCCTCAGATACATAACACTTACTAGCTGTGTGACTCTGGGCAAGTCACTTAACTCCAATTACCTTGCTCAAAAAAAAAAAAAGGACAATGGGAGGGACTCACAGGTATGTACCTTAGGGTGTGCACCTAGGAAATTTATTTTTTTTTTAAATTAAGGTGAATATTTATTAAATGTTCAGTAATAAGGATAGAGACTAGATCTGTTATTTCATTGATATAGGGAACTCCCAGATAAGGAAACTTGTTCTATCAAGGAAGGCAGCATCTTCTCTGTAACTTAGAGTCTTAAAGAGTTTCCTAGAACACTGAGATGTTAAGTGACTTGCCCAGGGTCACATAGCCAGTATGTATCAGAGGAAGGGCTTAAATTCAGTTTTCCCTAGCTCTGAAGTCAGTTCTGTATCCACTATGCCACAACTGCCTCTCACTTCAAACATAAAATGAATTATCTTTATTCACCAAACTAAAAAAAAAAAAACTTAAGACAATTTTTAAAATTAATAACTGAACTTTACTTTAAAAATAAAAACAAAAATGTTTCACATAATACTAAATCCTTTGAAACATTAGGAGGGTCCCTGGGCACCCCAAATATATCCTACACATGCATGTTTTTGGAAAGACCCTGCATGATTCCACAGCTCCCCCTTCCCCAGGGCAGTTTCTTCTACCTTATGACAGATGGGGAAAAGCAGACTATGTTATTGCCTATGCCCCCTGCCCCTCGCCCTGGCAACTCTTTCCCCAAGAATTCCAATGCCTCTTTACCTGAGGATTCAGAGAAAAAGTCTTTCGGATGGGTTTGCCAGGGCTGACTTCGATGGTATCAAAAAAGACAGTGAAGAGGACATCATCTTCTGTGGCTAAGTCTGCATCATAGACTTTCAGTTCTAGGATATTCTGGAGATCCAGGAGCAAATATTTGGGAGATATAGATGATAGATAGAGATAGATAGATGGATAGATATAGAGAGAGAAAGATGGATGGATGGATGGATGGATGGATGGATAGAGAGAGAGATAAATGGATGGATGGATGGATGGATGGACGGATGGATAGATAGATAGATAGATAATTATGCACGGCAATATACATATGTATACAGACACACACAACACATAACTAGCTGAATGACCTCGGCCAAATACAGTGACAAAGACAAGGACAAGGACAAGATTGCAGAATCACGTTTCAGTCATGTCCAGTAGTGGCAACACTTACTTTGAACCCCAAGTTTCTCAACTTAACTGACCGGAGATATAACACTGATACCCTGCTTGTCCAAATAAGGCTGAATCTCTAGACTCAGCTCTGTTCCCTCGAGCTAACAGAGGGAACTCTTTCCTGGCTGGCTAGCTGGATCCTAGAGGGAGGGGCTCCAGATGGGAACTGAGGGAGATTGGCTGGGGAGAGCATTGCGGTAACCATTGAGAATTAGCATAACGTGAAAGGAATGAGCGCTGGCTCTTGAGTCAGAAGTCCAGAGCTCTAACTTTTTTTTTTTTGAGGGGGTGAGGCAATCAGGGTTAAGTGACTTGCCCAGGGTCACACAGCTAGTGAATGTTATGTGTCTGAGGCCAGATTGAACTCAGGTCCTCTTCACTCCAGGGCCGGTGCTCTATCTACTACACCACCTAGCCGCCCCCTAGAGTTCTAACCTTGAGCAGGTCATAACCCTGGCCTTAGTTTCCTTATCTGTAAAAAGAAGGTGATGGACTAGATGTTCTCTGAGGTCCCTTCCAGCTCTTAGATCCCATAAACCATTTTATCTCTTAGGAATGGGGGTTTAGGATTCAGGGGTGGGGAACTTGCAACCTCGAGGCCACGTGTGGCGCTCTAGGTCCTCAAGCGCAGCCCTTTGACTGAATTGAATCCAATTTGGATTCAGCCAAAGGGCTGCACTTGAGGACCTAGAGGGCCACACGTGGCCTCGAGGCCACAGGTTCCCCACCCCTGGTTTAGGTTCAGCAGGGATCTTAGAGGCCACCCTTATATTTTATAGATGAGGAAACTGAGGCACAGGGCAGTTAAATGATTCGACCAGGGTCACACATCTAATAAGTGTGAGGCAAGATTTTAATTTCTGGTTTTCCTGACACTATGTCTAGTAGTCTATAAAAATGAAAGGGTTGGATTTAAGGATCCCTGTGGTTCCTTTAACTACAAAGTCTGTCATTTTATGTGCAAAGGTGGAGACATGCACACAAACATGGACATATACATATAGACATATACATGTGGACCTAGCCTCTCTCAGCTTCAGCTTCCTCATCTGGAAAATGGGACAATAATAACTATAGCAATTATCTCATCTGGTTTTGGTGAGAATCAAATGAGGAAATATATGTAAAACTCTCTGAAAACCTTAAAGTATTATATGATGTTATTAGAGACACAAATGGCAACTATCTCCTTTTTTTTTTTTTTTTAATCGAGTCTCATTTTCTGGCCGAGCTCTGAAGAGAGGTTGTCTCCATCCCTAAGAAGCTTCCACCTCCACCCTAGGTAAGGTAGGCGCGCCCACTTTCTGGAAAAGCCTACAAGCCAAATTCCCTCCTTTGGGGTCTGGTCTTTACCTTGACTTGCTTCTGGATCCGGAAGCTGAAGGTCTCGTTCCAAATGGGGTGATTTGAATTGGAGACAATTTTGGTCTTAAATGTGGTGCCTGATGCTGTTAACAGCTTCAGAACCACATACGGGTCAGCCTCACTTACTGCCACAAAGGGAGAGAAGCAGGATGTCAAGTTTCGCTGTTGTTCAGTCATTTTCAGTCATGTCCAACTCTTTATGACCTCATTTGGGGTTTTCTTGGCAAAGATACTGAAGGAATCCATGAATACAGGAATGGAGTCCATGACTCCATTTGGGGTTTTCTAGGCAAAAATACTGCAATGGTTTTCCGTTTCCTTCTCCAGCTCATTTTACAGATGAGGAAACTAAGGCAAATAGGGTGAAGTGACTCGCCCAGGGTCACACAGCTAGTAAGTATCTGAGGCCGGATTTGAACTCAGGAAGATGAGTCTTCCTGACTCCAGGCCCAGCACTCTGTGCACTCTACCACCTAGCTGTCCCCACCGCACCCATATCCTATTGACCTGAGGGCAGCCCCTCCCCAGGTTCCATTTTAAGACTCCATTACTTATCAGAGTCAGTGACTATTATCTCACTAGACTGGGAACTTCCTTCAATCAGGGACCTCAACTTCGTATCTTCTCTTTCCCTAGCAAAAGGGAGACAATGTTGTAGAGTGGGAAAGTGTGACGGATTTAGGTTCAAAGGATCAGGGTTCAAACTCTGACTATTCTTTAATGACCTGGGACAAGTCTCTGAGTCTCACTTTCCTTATCTGTAAAATGAGGGTGTGGACTAGAGGACCCCAAGGTCCCTTCTGGTTTTGATCCTATGATCCCAACACCTAGCACTTAATAAAATGTTTGTTGGATGAATAAATTAGGATTTTATTGGGATGCCTATTGTTCTTTAGATAGTCTAGTCTTATTGTGAAGCTTCATCATGGCACAGAAATGAGACTGGCTTCCCAAAGGCTGTCTCAGAAGAGAGAAAATGCTGCCAACCATTTGGGAAGGCTTGGAGCATGTGTCCAACAAGAGATTGTGCCTGCCGTCTGACCCCCAGCTTGGGAAAGATCGGAGAAATGCATCGCCAGACTGGCTCAGGAAGAGAAATTTTTTCATTGGCAGTGCCCTACAAAGACTGTCTGCTGAGACAAAGAAGGATCACCACCTGAATCTATGGAGGGAGCATCTATACTGGTGAAATCACAGATCCTTGAAGTACCCTAGAGGCAAGCTTGTCCCTAAAGAGAGAAGTAAATGCATCTCCTTCTTGCCATGGAAGAAGTGGTGGACTATGGGTGTGGAACACTGTATATATTGCCCAATTCAGTTGGTGGGTTGGCTAGTTTGGCTGAACCAGTTTTTTTCCCCTTCTCTTATTCTTAATGGGGGCTCCTTGAAGGCAAGGTGCGTGTTCTGGTCTTTCTTTGTAACCTCCACGCCCACCCCTATACTTAGCACAGGGCCTGGAATATATTGTTGTTGTTTAGTCATGTCTGACTCTTCATGAACCTATTTGGGGTTTTCTTGGCAAAGATACTGGAGTGGTTTGCCATTTCCTTCTCCAGCTCATTTTACAGATGAGGAAACTAAGGAAATGGGGGTTAAGTGACTTGCCCAGGGTCACACAGCTACTAAGTGTCTGAGACTGGATTTGAGCTCTGGTCCTCCTGATTCCAAGCCCAGTGCTCCATTCACTGCACCACCTAGCCACCCCTACACCTAGCATATAGTAAGCCCTTAATAAATGCTTGTTGACTGACAGCCGATGGCTTTCTGGGTAGGGGAGGAAAGAGACATATAGTCAAAAATGAAGGTGATGAACAAAAGATAACAGTAAAAATTAAGGAAAATTAATTGTATCGGAAGGGGGGAAAAAATAACACAGGGTCAACCCAAAGATACCCTGCTAGATCCTTTCCACGAATTGTGGGCAGGTCAGACTAGAGTATGACTATGCCTCGTTGGGATCCAAAAGATGGGCTACTCACATAGGTCCGTCCAGAACAAGTTCCTCGCTTCCAGGACCTTCACAGAGAGCTGGCAGCAGGGAAAGGCTTCACCCTGAAAGAAAACAACGTGAACAAATCTCCCAATCATGACCTTCAAAGCCAAGCCAAGAAAGCAGCAAAGCTCACCAGGAGGCGCTTTGCTCCCTGCCTAGCCCTCATGGGTGCAGAATTGTTGCAGATCTCCTGAGACTTCTATCTCGAGGCCTCAATGGTAGCTTGGTGGATAGAGTGCTGGACCTGAGTCCTACTATGACTTCACACACTTACGAGCAATGTGACCCTAGGCAAGTCACTTAACCTTTGCCTAACTCAGTTTCCTCAACTGTAAAATGAGAGTCCTAAAAACTAGTGGTGATGAGAACTCAAGTCAAGTAGCTAGGGAGAGCATTATAGTAAGCACTGGGAGTTAGCGTGGTGAAGAGGAATGAGCTTTGGCTCTGGAGGCAGAGGCCTTAAGCTCTAACCTTGGCCAGATCATAACCCTGGGCCTCAGTTTCTTCATCTGTAAAATGAGGACTAAATGTCTGTGAGGTCCATTTCATCTCTTAGATATATGATCCCACAAGTCCCTTTGTCTCTTAAGAGCATGGGTTTAGAGATGGAAGGGATAAAAGAAGTGATCGAGTCCCACCCCCTTCCTGAATTTTCTCAGACCTTCTGCCATGCCTGGAATGCTCCCCCTCCTCAACTCCACCTACTGACTTCCCTGGGTACTTTTAAATCTCAGCTAAAATCCTATCTTTTTTACAGAAGGCCTTTCCCAGCCCCTCTTAATTCTGGTGCCTTCCCTCTGTTAATTATTCCTTTATTTACCCTGTATATAGCTTGTTTTCCATATATGTGTTCGCATGTTGTCTCCCCCTCCCCTGATTAGACTGTAAGCTCCTTGAGGGCAAGAACTGTCTTTTGCCTGGTTTTGTATCCCTACCACTTAGCACAGGGCCTGGGCACTTAATAAATGTTTTGGGCAGCTGGATAGAATATTGGGCCTAGAGTCAGGAAGACCTGATTCCAAATCTGGCCTCAGACATTTACTAGCAAGTTACTTAACCCCATTTGCCTCAGTTTCCTGAGCTGGAGAAGGAAATGGCAAGCCACTCCAGTATCTTTGCCAATAAAACCCCATATGGGGTCACGAAGAGTCAGATACAACTGAACGACTGAAAGGAAAGATGTAATGCTTTAAGATTTGTAGAGCATTTTACATGCCACCTGATTTGATCTTCACAGACACCTTTGAGGCAGGTGCAATTATCATCCCCAACTTAGCAATGAGGAAACTGAGGCTGTGAGAAAAGTTGTGGCTTGCCCAGAGTCACACAGCTAGGAAATATCTGAGGTGGGATTGAAATTCTGGTCTGTCAATCTATCCACTATGCCACCTATGCCTAACACACATTCTTATCACTTTCCATCAGCCATCATTGGTCTGTCTACACACAGACACTCAGATCTGCTGAAGTCACCCCGTTGTGTGTTACATCCTCATTAACCTAATTCCAAATGTGTCAGCCTTTCTCCTCACCTACCACTGCCCTCCTCCCCCCTCAGAGAACCATGCCCAGACAAGACTGTCATTGTCCCAGCACAAGCCATACACCCTGCAGCTACTGCTGTCTCCACCCTCCTCTACCCATGTTACACTTCCTATTGCAAGTACAGCAGAATACACTCCCAGTGTGGCTCATGGATCAATATCCAGGAGAGCCTCTGGTTGGTGACAGCAGGAACATGTGGCCCTGGGAGTGTCCCTACCAGCTTCCTGCTCCATTAGGGTGGTCACGAGAACACACTAATTAGGTAGGTTCCTTCCTCAATTTGTGGTGATTAATGATCCAAAAAGACACTGAGCAACATTTCTCATTAATGAGCCCTCAACCAAAGGTGGTAACTGACCCAGCTTTCTTGGTTTCAAAAAATACTCAATTCGATCCCCTCTCAGCCTCGAAGATTCTCAAGGCCAAGCTGATCAGGAAGAAGCCGATTCCAAGAGCTCACAAGAGCCTATGGGAATACAAACTCACTAAGGAAAATGAGGTCAAAACCCTGCCCCAGTGTATAACTTGGTCAGAGGTGTTGACCACACTTAGAGGTGCCAGCCTTGGGCAGGAGGACGGGAACAGAGACGCTCGATCCCTTTTAGAGAAGAGACAATGTGGCAAGAAGATGGATAAGGTCAGGAGTACCCAGGTACACTTGGGGAGAAGGGACATAGAAAAGCCCAACCCCATTCAGAGAGCTGCTCCTCAGTCAGAGATAGTCTGACCTGACAGCCCCCTACTCCTGCTGTATAAGGTTCTGCAGCTCCCTCTCTTGCTGGGTGGCCAATTGCCCCTCTAGGAATGCTGGGACAATATGGCGTCCCCTCTTGGTGCCATTTCCTAACCCACCAATCTCTACATTGCAGGTTGGGGCTGCTTGGCTCTGATAGGCTCTCTTGGTTCTCCATTTCTGCTCTGCCTCAGAAGGCTGTCATTTCCTTGGAAAGATTTTTTTTTTAAGTGAAATCCCAGTTTTCCAAATTTAGCATCAGACACTTGGTCTTCCCAGAACTCCCCCAGCCCTAGGGATTTAACAACCAGACCAGGACTTTGCCTCTGTAACAACTCCTTCTTCTTCCGTTTCTGTTGTTCAGTTGTTTCAGATTCCTTGTGGCCCCATTTGGGGTTTTCTTGGAAAAGATAATGGAGTGGTTTGCTATTTCCTTCTCTGGCTCATAACACAGATGAGGAAATTGAGGCAAACAGGGTTAAATGACTTGCCCAAGGTCACACAGCTAGTAAGTATCTGAGGCCAGATTTGAATTTAGGCGTTACTGACTGCAGGCCTGTCACTCTATCCACTGTATCACCTAGCTGCCCACCTATTATTTTTTCGTCTCTGGGGTTCTAATAAATAGCTATGAGCCAAACTACTTTATTTCCACAGCCTAGTCCCCTCAATTGCGATGATCCTCACTTAACTAAACTGTTGGGTCAGTCAATGGTGGACCATTGATACTGACTTCCATGAGGCTTTCCTATGGAAAGTCCACTGACTCAGCTTTCTCCCTTGGTAATAAGAGCTAACATTTACGTAGACTTGAAGGTTTGCAAAACACTTTAATACATTACCTCATTAGATCCTTTATCCCCATTTTACAAATGGGTTTGAAAAAGGTTAAGTGCCTTAGGTGGCACAGTGGATAGAGTACTGAGCCTGGAGTCAGGAGCACACATCTTCCTGAGTTCAAATCCAGCCTCAGCCACTTACTAGCTGTGTGATCCTAGGCAAGTCATTTAACCCTATTTGCTCCATTTCTCATCCATAAAAATAAGCTGGAGAAAGAAATGACAAACCACTCCAGTGTCTTTGCCAAGAAAGCCCCAAATGGGCTCATGAAGAGTCAGATACGATTGAATAACAACAAAGTGGCTTGCCTCAGGTTGTATCATATCTGAGTTAAGATTTTAACTTGGGCCATTCTGTCTAGACTAGCAATCTTCTCCACTATGCCACCTATAACTCACAGAGAGAGAGAGCCGTACTACCCAGAATCCTGGTACACTTCACAATCTTGGGTTCTGTGAGAGTCTGGGACAGACAACTCAAAGGTTGACCCTTTTGTTCTCAGGTAGGTCTAAGAGACACTAAAGGCAAGGAAAGCCTGAATCTAAGCACAGAGAGAGGTCTGAAAGTCAGTGGGGTGGGAACCCTGGGGCCCATGATAATAATGACTGACGTTTACTTCATGTTAAGGTTTGCAAAAGGTTTCCTCCCAAAATACTAAGCTCAGGTGCCACCTCTTACATAAAGTCTTTCCTCTTCCCCTCACTGATGTCCTCCCTCCCCACGCCCACCCCCATGATATTTGTAAAGCCCTTAGGACAGTGCTTGGCCCATGGTAGGCATTTCATAAATGCTTGTTCCCCATTCTGCCCCCCTCCCCAATTTTGCACTTATTTATATGTGCAAATGTTGTTTCCTCTTTTTTCATCTTTATGCCCCCAGAGCCTAGTACACTGCCTGGCACAAATAGTAGGTGTTTAATAAAATGCTTGTTGATTGACCAACTACGTCCATTATTTAGCATCCCACAATCACAGATTTAGGGCTGGAATACAAAGGTGGTTCCTCTGATCTCTTTCCACTATAACAGGCTGCTTCCCCTTCATTAAATCCTTATAACCACCCTGGTGAAGTAGGGACTACTGACATTATAATCCCTATTTCACAAAAAAGGAAACTGAGGCTCGGAGAGACTAACTAGTCATCCAGCTAATAAGTGTTAGAGATGAGTTTTGAACTCAGATCTTCATGATTGCAGGTCCAGTATTCTGTCTACTTTACCCCACTGCCTCTTCCCAGCAAGGGGCTGAAACCCAGCTATATCTCTGCCTGAACCTTCCATGACTACCACACTACCCTGCCTGGTCTCTCTAATCATATTTGGGTATTTGGGGAGGAGAGATCATAGATAGAACTGTTGGTAATCCATACCCTAATGAACTGGGAAAGAAGAGATTGAACCCACTTTCTGGCCAAGTTGGGCAGAGCAGATATTCTGTAAAATCCACCTCAGAGACAGTTCTGGGCTTCCTCCCTGACTTTCCAGCTGTTCTTCTAGCTCCTGGGGCAGGATTCTAATATCCCATCCCAGCAGGAAGGAGCTAGATGAAATCACCCAGACACCTCAACTCACAGCAGCAACCAGTCTAGGGGCTAGGAAATGTCTAAAGGAATTCATCATGTAATTTCCCATAAATGCAATGTTATATATGACAGGCAGGTTAGTTCATTTAACTGAAAATATATACCTTAGTAATAATAACAACGTAGAACCCAGCCGAAACCTTCAAGAAGTCTTACAGGTCTGAAAATGTTTCCCTTGGTAGCCACTGGAATGTCAATGGATCTGGGCTTTCTGGCTCTGCAACTCCCTTTACATCTTGGTTCTTAATCTTGCCCAACACACAAGCTTTCCTTGAAAATCTAGTTGTAGAGTCCAATGCAAGACTGTGTTGGAATCATAAGACCTGGATTCAAAACCTGTCTCAGATACTTACTAACCATGTGACCCTGGGCAAGTCACTTCACCTCCATCTGCCTCAGTTTCTTCAATGGTAAAATGGAGATAATATTACACCAACCTACCAGGGTTGTTGTGAGGATCAAATGAGATAAATTTGTAAAGTGCTCAGACCAGTGTCTGGTGCACAGGAGGCATGATATAAATGCTTGCTCCATTCCCTTTATCATGAAGAAAGTACTTGGAAATCTTAAGACACTAGAAATGTGAATATATGCTATCTTTATTTTTGACTAGACCTGGGATTTTGTTGAAAAGTCTACGGAATGAGCTCTCTCTATCAATGCAGAAGACACCGCTCTGTAATTTATACTTATAAGGTTCCCTAGGGCACTGAGTAGGGCAGCTAGGTGGCCCAGTGGATAGTGTACCAGGCCTGGAATCAGGAAGACTCCTCTTCAAATCTGGCCTCAGATACTTCCTAGCTGTGTGACCTTGTTTGCCTCAGTTTCCTCATCTGTAAAATGAGTTGGAGAAGGAAAATGGCAAACCACTCCAGTATCTCTGCAAGAAAACTCCCAATGGGGTCACGAAGAGTTGAACATTACCGAAAAACAACTGAACAACCAGAATAAAGAGTATTGAGTGATTTATCAGCTTGCCTAGGGTCTTGCCCACCATTATGTATCAAAGACAGGACTTGAACCAAGTTTTCCGGGTTCCAAGACCAGCTCACTACAATTCTAGCATGGCTGCCTTTAATCCTAAGGCTGGTATAGGTGGAGAGCAGCATGGCACCAGAGAAAGAAGGCTCACTTTATGGTCCCAGGTTCTGGGTTCAAACCCCAGTTCTGCCATTTACTACCTGTTTTATGTCAGACAATTCATTTAATTTCTCCGGGCCTCCGTTTCCTTACATCTAAAATGAGGGCTGGGGGAGAGAGAATTGAACTAAAATAATAGTATATATGACTACAGACACATATATCCTATATAGTGTATACTATATAGTATATATACTGCTATTATATATAATACATGCTATATATATATATGTACTATTTAGTATATGTACTACCAACTATATATAATATATAGCATATAGTATATATATTTGCCATATATTCTATATAGTATATATTAGTAGTATACACACTTAGTAGTATATATACTATGCAGTATTACATAATATATATTATATATACTATATAACAATATTTATCTTTAAAGTGGGCAAAGCATTTTATCATTTGATCCTCACAACAACCTGGGTAGGTAGTAGGTCCTATTATTATCCTCATTTTACAGATGAGAAAACTGAGGCTGAGAGAAAGTGACTTGTCCAGGGTCACACAGTTAGGAAACGCCTCAGGCAGGATTCAAACTCAAATTGTCCTGACTTGGCCTCCAACGACCCTTCCTGCTCCAAACCTGTGATCCTAAGAGAGGCCAGCTTCATTAAGAAACAATTGGTCAAACAAACGTCTATCGAGCAACTGCGATAGGCAGTCACTTTTGCTAACTGCTGTGTGAACAGGAAGTAGGAGACGTGATCCTGGCTTTCAAGAAGCTCATACTCTGGGCTGAGCCTCATGCTCCAATAACAAGAGAAGCAGATCCAAGAACAGGCAGGGAAAGGAAATGAGGAATGGAGGCCTGTTGTTCCAAGACCATGGTGCCTGGCAGGTAAGAAGCAGCCAAGAGGGACTGGGTAGGGCAGTGGATAGAGCCCTGAAGCTGGAGGTAGAAAGACCTGAGTTCAAATTTCCCCTCAGATACTTACTAGCTATATGACCCTGGGCAAGTCCCTTGACCTTTACCTACCTCAGTTTCCTCAGCTATAAAATGGGGATAATAATAATGTTGTATAGTCATGTCTGACTCTTTGTGGACCATAGTACGCCAATACTGTCCATGGGGTTTTCTTGGCAAAGATACTGGATTGTTTTTTTTTTCCTTCTCCAGTTGATCAAGGCAAACAGAGGTTAAGTCATTTGTCCAGGGTCACAAAGCTGGGAAGTGTCTTGGACCAGATGTGAACCCAGATGTTCTTGACTCCAGGCCCAGCACTCTATTCACTGAGCTACCTAGATGCTAACATTTATATAGCACTTACTATGTGCTAGGAGCTTTACCCTGGGAGATAGGTGCCATTATAATCCCCACTTTGTTATTGTTATTCAGTCATGTCCGTGATCCCACTTGGGGTTTTCTTGGCAAAGATGCTGGAATGGTTTGCCACTTCCTTCTCTGGCTTGTGTTGAAGATAAAGAAACTGAGGCGAACAGGGTTAAGTGACTTGTCCAGGGTTACACAGCTAGTAAGTGTCTGAGGCTAGATATGAAGTCACAAGTCCTGAGTTCAAATCCTTTATTTGCCTCTGTGATCACAGGCAATCCACTTAACTTCCCCAGGCCTCAGTTTCCCCTCCTATAAAATATGAGGGTTCAACCAGATGTCTGAAGTTCTTTCCAGCTCTAACTCTGTGATTTCTCTTCTGAGAGAGAAAGGTCACACATCACAATAAGAGATCCCCACCCACCTCCCTTTAGGGAATGTCCCTAGGATCCCCACTCTTCTCCTACCCAGGCAACCAAAACCTTTAGTGGCTCTAGAACAGAGCAATTTGTCTGTAATCAGTTCAGTTCCAGATCCAGACCCCTGGAACACAGTCTTCATGTCTCCAAAGGCTCCAGAAACAGCCCAGAATTGAGGGATGAGACAGAATACACCATTATCAGTGACTTCACATAGAGGGTCATAGATCTTGAACTCTGAGGCTATCCAATGCAACACCCTCATTTTACAGATAAGGAAATTAAGACCCAGGATAGTTAGTGACTTACCCAAGGTCATACAGGTAATAAGTAAACATCAGAGACAAGACTTGGACCCAAGTCCTCTGCCCCCTGAAGTCAGTGCCGTTTCCCCCCGTACAATGCCGCCTAAGCTGACATTTGATTCTGATTGCCTGCCACCCTGGTCAGGGTTTGGTCCAGGGAGATGGCAGGGTTTTCCAATGAGGGAGTCAGACCAGACGTAAGCACCATGGAGAGTTATAAAGTCTTCTCCCTCCCTGATACTCCAGCTTCAGTTTCATTAATTATAGTGATAACTGACATTTACAATATGCTTCAAAGTTTGCAAAATGCCTTACACACATTTTCTTATTGAAGCCTCACAATGCCCTTGTAAGGTAGGTATGACAGGTAGTATTACTATTATCCCTGTTTCACAAATAAGGAAAAAAATCTCAGGTCGGTTGAGTGACTTGTCCATAATTACCTTCCTGCTAAGTATGAGAGATGGGATTTCAACCCAGGTCTCCCTGACTCCAAGGCTAGCCCTCTGTCCACTCTCTATGCTAGGGTGATTAGTATTGAATGTCACATAGAATCCTATGGCTCCTTGAGAGGCACAGAGGCACCCATGAGCTACTGGCCTGTTCCCTGCTGTACTCCAGTGGGAGAGGTTGACCTCCCATCCTGAGGCAAATCCTCCTGAATTTCTCCAGCACGTAGGAGATATCTCAACATGAATATGACTGTCAAGCAAACTACAATGAAGAAGAAAGGCTCCTGGGTAACTAATACCTAATATCTCTCCATCTCTGATTCTCTCATTTCAGTTTCTCTGGACATAATACCTCCAGCAACTGAGACTGTATCCAAACCTGGTCAGAGAACAGTGGGTTCCACATCCCACATCTCCCCTCAGCCCAGACAAAGACACATGGTCTGCTTTCTTCAGACAGCTAGAAATTCTCCCCAGGCTAAGCTGAGCCCAGACTTCCACAACCCACCCTGGTTCTGTCCATGAGCTCACTAGGCACTGTTACCTGGTGAGGATGGCAGGACGGTTTCTCAGACACCAGGCACTCCATGGCATAATAATCCCTCTGGCTGAAAATACTCTTCAATCAGCTCCTGACAAGGACAGCTGCTCCCCAGGTGAGTGGCTTGCTGTGACAGTCCTAGCAGGGATGGTACCTTTAATCTGACTGCCTCAGTGGAGCAAGAGTCCTATAAACAAATTTGAGGCTCCAACCCTCTGGGTGACTCCCACATTTGAGAGCCTTTCCCCTTGCTTCACTACAAAGTACTATTCATTTGCCTCTACTTCAAGGTACCACCCTAGGGCTCCAGGGTGGGGCAAGAGCTGACAAGATAAATATATACAACCGGAAAACTGTCCACCTTAGGCACCCTAGACGGAGATGAGAAAAACCACAAGCTAGGGTGAGCTGGAAGGCAAAGATCACTCTGGTACCAACCTCTGAAGCAACCTTCTAAACTGAGGCCCTTGATGTGAGCCACTCTGGGCATCTCTGTGCTGTAGATCTCAGTGGAAAGATCTGAAATCATGATAGCCCTCAGACCAGCTGAGAAGAGAGAGACATTGGCTCTTTTATCCAACTAATGACCCAGTGGCTAGTTAGCCCTTGTCCTGAGTTTGGTGAGCCAAAGGTAGAGTAATTCTTTATCATATTTATCATTCTAACTCTACTGTTCTCTTGGGTTTGATCCCACTGGGACCAATCTATCTTGGAACTTACGCAGGTGAACAGTTCCCATCAACTGTGGTCCAAAGGGTCTGAGCCAATCCTAAATAAATCCAGAGTTCTCAGGAGTCCTGATGAATAGTGACCCAATAGTTCCCAATAGGAACTATTGTCGTTCTGGCACTGCCAAAGGAAGTAACTATCTGAAAAAATGCTCTAAATCATTATTGGTTAGAGAAATACAAATTAAAATAACTCTGAGGTACCATCTCACACCTATCAGATTGGCCAATATGACGGAAAATGAAAATGACAAATGTTGGTGGGGATGCAGAAAAATTGGGACACTAATGCACTGCTGGTAGAGTTGTGGACTAATCCAATTATTCTGGAGAACAGTTTGGAACTCTGCCCAAAGGGCTATAAAACCCTGAGGGTATATGCATACCCTTTGACCCAGCAATACCACTACTAGGTATAAATCCCAAAGAGATTAAAAAATATGTACAAAAATATTTATGGCAGTACTTTTCACGGTGGCAAAGAATTGGAAATTGAGGGGATGTCCATCAATTGGAGAACAGCTAAAAAAAGTTGTGGTATATGATTGTGATGAAATACTATTGTGTTATAAAAAATGACAAGCAGGATGCTTTTAGAAAAACCTGGAAAGACTTATACGAACTGATGCAAAGTGAAATGAGCAGAACCAGAACAGTGTACACAGTAACAGCAATATTGTACTATGATAACTGGGAATGACTTAGCTATTCTCAGCAATACAATGATACAAGACAATTCTGAAGGACTTGGGATAAAAAATGCTATCCACCCCCAGAGAAAGAATTGATGGAGTCTGAACACATATCAAAGCATACTTGTTTTTAAACTTTATTTTTGTTGATTATTTTTTTTTTGGTCTGTGTTTTCTTTCACAACATGACTAATACGGAAATATGTTTTGCATGACTGCACATGTATAACCTGTATCAAATTGCTTGCCTTCTCAAGGAGAAGGGAAGAGGGGAAGGAAGAGAGAAAATTTGGAATTCAAAATTTTAAAAAACAAATGTTAAAAATTGTTTTTACATGTAATTGGAAAAATAAAATATTTAAATTGAAAAAAATAAAAACAAACAACACATGTAAAAAATTGTTTTTAAAAGGAAGTAACTATCTGCTTCACTCCAAAATTTCTTTATAAAGAAATGGCTTTCTTAGACCTTGTTTATTATGTTTGTATGATAATGGTCAGTCAAAATATTTATTTTTTTTTATAACACTTCTTTCTTTCTTTTTTTTTTTTAGGCAATTGGGGTTCAGTGACTTGTCCAGTGTCACACAGCTAGTAAGCATCAAGTGTTTGGTCTGAGGTCGGATTTGAACTCAAGTCCTCCTGACTTCAGGGCCAATGCTCTATCCACTGCGCCACCTAGCTGCCCCCAAAATATTTATTAAGCACGGCCTATGTACTAAGCACTGTGCTAAGTGCTGGGGATCCAAAGAAAGGCGAAAGTGGTTTCCTGCTCTAAAGAAGTTCACGAGAGGCAGCTAGGTGGCGCAGTGGGTGTCGCACCAGCCCTGGACTCAGGAGGACCTGAGTTCAGATTTGACCTCAGACACAAAACACTCACTAGCTGTGTGACCCTGGCCACACATTAACCCCATTGCCTAGCCCCCCAAAAAAATTTTTTAAAAAAATAAAAAAAAAAGAAGTTCACAGTGTAATAGAGGTGACAACTTGCAAACAGCCATGTACAAACAAGATAAATTTAGGATAAATTGGAGACAATGTGAAAGGGAAGGCACTAAAATTAGGGAAGACTGGGAAAGGCTTCTTGCAAAAGGCAAGACTTGAGCTGAGATTTGAAGGAAGCCAGGGAACCTGAGAAGAAGAGATGAAGAAGGAAACCATTCCATGCATGGCGTACAGAGGATGAAAATGCTCAGTCAGGAGATAGAGTCATATTTGAGAAACAAGAAGGCTGGTGTTACAGAACCACAGACTAAAAAGGGGATGTAAGGTGTAAGAACACTGGAAAGGTAGGAAGGGGCCAGGTTATGAAGGGTTTGAAGAGCTAAACAAAGGGTTTTATATTTGGAACTGAAGGTGACAGAAACAATAATCTGTCTAATTTTTCTCTTGCCCTAGATGACTGAGAACCTGGCTCTATTAATATGGAGAAAAAATGAGATCAAAACTTAGCAATCTGTACCTACCCTCACACATGGAAAAGTGCTCTAATATGTGGACATTCAATGTTTTGGCAGTTGTCTTGGGGGCCCCACTTTTGTTGAATGCAAATATTTAGCTTGAAAAGGATAAGTCTGTGATCAGTCCAGTACTCTGTGCCACACACCGCCTTCATTACTCTCACATTCTATCAGTCTCTTCTCCTTACAAAGACATAGTCTAGTAAATGCCAATGTTTGCTGTGAGAGTGCATCCACAAAGTTTTATTCCATTTAGGTAAACAGAGGATACTGTTGGCTATGAGAAGGTCATGAGTTGCACAAGTCTTCAGTATTAAGTGACCATTGCTATTGCTGTTTCCAACTCCATTCCTCCCAAGGACTCCTTGCCATGTCTGACAATCTGCACCTCCTCTGGTGTTAAACACAAACTTGTTCTCTTTTGGCACATTGATGATGAGGGTCTCCAGGTCTTCATAAAATTTTTTTTTGACTTCATCAGGGTTCATCATAGTGGGAGCATATGCACTGATGATGGTGGTATGACATTTTTCCTGACAGTGGCAATCACAGTGTCGTGAGCCTGTCATTTATTCCTTTTGAAAGGTGTCCAAGCTTGTTGCCTAGATTGTTTTGATTGTGAAGCCGATGCCAGCTTCACAGTGTTCCCCATCACTTTGGCCACTCCAGAAAAACACGTATCCAGCTCTGACTTCAATAAGCTGGCCTTTGTTTGCCAGCCTTGTTTCACTCAGAGCTGCTATTTGGATGTGATACCAGCTGAGTTCTCTCATAACAAGAGCGATTCATCTTTCCGGTCTACTGGATTTCTTATTATCCATACATATGCACACATTCCATGGACCAATGGAGAGTGGAATCATCTTCACAAAAGTTTTTCTATTTTTTTTTATATGTTTCAACGGCAGGGCAGGATCCCCATCTGCTTCAGTAGACAGGCCAGTAAGCAGACTATTTTCGGGGCACCTTTTCGAGCCCCTTCCTCTTGCCAGGAGGCAAGCAATGCAGTCCTTTAAAAAGGCGGCTCAGACACCAAGGGGGCTGCTGAATCCCACTGCTGCTTCAGTTCAGTGAGAAGGCAACCCTATGACCTGGGCTGCCTGTGTGCAGGGTTGTGACTGCAGCTCCCATGGTGCTCACACCTGCTGCTTTGTCACTTGCCTGTCACTACAGGACTTTGAGGTAGGTAAAAATGATAAAATGGCATGGGTGATGTCTTTTAACCCACGCATAAATTGGGTTTAAGTGAGGCAGAATTGCATGAAGTCATCAGCTTTATTCTCTCTTCCAGAGTCATCAAAGTCCAATGGCAAGACAAAAGTCAAGATGACTGGCAATGACCTGGATTGTAGTAGATCACCTTGGCATCTTCCATGTCTGACCAAGTACAAAGCCTGCTTCAGCCACCTTCGTGACCTTTGGAATAAATTGTTCACATCCACCCATCCGGCCAGGGTAAGTCTTCCTGTGTTTGGTGTTAACACCCCAGTAATTCGCTGACAGATTTGTGGGCCATGGGGTAACCTCAACCTGATTTAGGCCATCTGCTGAGATGGTTTTGCCAGCGTATGGCTGCTACAAATGCTATGGCTTCTTGGAGCCACAGGTGAGAGTTGAGTGCCAGGTGGACACCAAAGGCGAATAAGCAGCCCTGCAAAGGGTTCAACAAGCCCTCACACCAAAGGTTCTAGGTCTAGTTCTAGTTCTACACTCCAGGAGCCATGTACCAAAGCTACTAATATCTTGCTTTGCTACATTTATTTTATTTTTGTTTCTGTTCTGGGTGTGCTTAAGAGACTAGCAAAAATTCCTTTCAACAAGCATTCATTAAGCAACTATTAGGTACAGAAAACTGTGTCAGGTAATTAGGTAAGATGGATGCCTGCCCTCAAGAAGCTTACAGCTTACATTAATGTAGAGAAGGGTTTGTGGAAGAGGTGCCATCTGAGTTGGACTTTAAAAGGTAGATAGAAATTCCATAAGCAAAGAAGAGGGAAAAGATTCCAGGCATGGGACACAAGCTGAGCAAAGGCCCAACCTATATTTAGGGGCAGAAAATTGTCTAATTTGGTAGGAATACATAGTGCACTTTGTTGTTTTTCAGGTGTTTCAGCGATGTCTGACTCTTTGTGACCTCATTTGAGGTTTTCTTGGCAAAGTCACTGAAGTGTTTTGCCATTTCCTTCTCCAGCTCATTTGACAGATGAGGAAATGAAGGCAAATGGGTTAAGTGACTTGCCCATAGTCGCACAGCTAGTTAAGTGTCTGAAGCCAGATTTTAACATAGGAAGACGAATCTTCCTGACTCCAGACCCAGTAC